GGGGGGGGGCAGAATCTTATCTATATACATAAATACCTGGAGGAGGGGGGTGAGGGAGTGGTGCAAAGCAGCAGGAAACACTTTTTTACTGTGAGGGTGACTGAGCACTGGCACAGGCTGCCCAGAGAGGTTGCGGAGTCTCCATCCTTGAAGATACTCAAAAGCCATTTGGACGCAAGTCCTGGGCAAGTGACTCCGGGTAGCCCTGCTGTACCACCTGCTGCCTGCACCAGAGGGCCTCCAGAGGTGCCTTCCCACGTCAGCCCTTCAGCTATTCTATGGTACTGTGCCTCTGCATTATTACAAAACCAGTCGCTTAGGGTACTTTCATTTTTCTCACAGTTTAGATTGCTAATACCTTACTTAGAAAAAATAGTGGGGGAAGGAAATGCTGGGAGTAAAGTGTTTTGTTCTTAGTATAAAATGACAGGGAGGTTGGTTTTTTTTTTTTTACCCAAAAAGTCAAATTTTTGAGTAGTTGTACTCATAATCATTTTCTGTGTGCTGTCTACTATGTTAGAAAATACTTTGTTAAAAAAAAAAACAAAACACACCACAGTTGATCAGTATGAATCGTGTTTAAAATACATTATCTCTGTAAGCACTGTCCAAAAAAAATGGTGTTTGTAGGGACCCCCAGCAAATACAAAAATTATGGATAAAGCAACAGGAAAGTTAAACGGGACTGATTACATAACCATCCAGCTGGGCCTGTTTTTACCACGAATTATTACTTCCATCAGATTCTTCCTGTTGAGATTTTAGTGAATGCTTACCTTGAATAACAGGTTATGGAAAGGAAAACCCTTTTCTAATGAATGTTGCTTAGGAAGAGATGAAGGAAGTTCTAACTGGGCAATTTTAAGAGAATCACAACTGATTAAGGGTCACTTTCCTTACATGAAGCAGCAATAGCTAGAAAGGTTAATGACAGAAAAAAATTGCTATCCAATTCTCATTATGGGGGATGCACCTGCCAGCAGTAATAAAAGCAGTAAACTGCAGCCTAAGATGTATTTTTAATAGACTGTCAAGTTTCACTTTTATAAGTACATACCAAAAATCTAATGGAATAATTAAGACAAAATCCTGATGATTTAACTGACCTATATAACCTTTAAACTGGTACAAAAGCGTGTTCTGTTTAGAAAGTACGCTCTGAGGTTGGCGGTTAAATATTTTAAACAGGCGAGCCAATCACATTCCCATGAGAACACATTTAACTAAATCATTTATTAAACAGATGCAATCTGTATGCAAGTATAGAGAGAACAAGCCATGTTCTTAACAAATAAGGGAAAGACACTAACATAAATATTCATGCAAGGCTGTTATTTTCCTTAATCTCTGTATTTCATAAATGTTGAATTAATACAGCTTTCTTAAGTGGTATGATTAATGATCACCTTCCTTCTAAGAAGAGAATTTACTGTACCTTTAAGAATTGCTCATAGAGTTGCTTAATGGTTTTCAGCCTCTGACCCTGAACTATTCTTGCCTGTTGAAAAACTTTTTGTTGCTGACGAAACATATTCTGAAGCAGAAGAGAAAATAACTGCATTAGTTAACCAAAAGCACTTGGACAGCAACACTAATGTCATTAATCAGAATCAGAAATTCTGCCTTGGCTGGAATTCTGGGTCACATAATGTAGATTTATGCCTGCAGAGTTATCCTTGTTCTTATTGGTGAAAGAAAGACTGAAGACTGGATTAAGCCCTGAGTCATCTCCTGAGCTTCCTTCCAACCTGAATTATCCCTGTGAGATCCTATGAGGATTGCTATCCAACGCAGTTCTCAAGGGTATCCCAGGGAAATGTGCTGCCTAGGGAAAAGCAAAACTTGCAAATGTGTTGGGAACATAAATACAGCAACATCAACGTGATTACATTCCATTCTGTAGCTCCTATCCCTTTCCAGTAATCAAATTTTCATTTATTATATGCAGGCATACCTTTAAGCAATGCATGCTCAAAGACAGCTGCTTTCCTTTACTCCTTTGTTCCTGAACCCAAAGAGTATGGATGCACAGAAGCACCACACATCTTCCTCATGAATGGTCTTGGGTTTTCTCAAGCCATGTGCTGGCCTAGGGCATCACTTATTGCCGTTGATAAACTTGCAATAAAGTTTGTAAATGCACATCTGTTCACTTTATATCCCAAAACGCAAACATTTACAGTTTGAGAGCCACCAAACTCAAAATATTTATCAAGGCAAACAATCACAGGTTTGTTTAAACTACATAAAGTGTTTTTGTGTTTCTTGAGTGTCTAAACAATATTCCCTCCTTGCAAAAATACCATGAAACTGATGCCATGCTGGAAACCCACCGCTAGTTTTTCTTCCTGCTCCTCTGCTTTCTGCACATCTACATCCCATTGCTGAAATAGAGTCAGGAACTGCTGGGAGAACTCATGATTGAGCTTCTGCCTATAAACAGACACTAGCTGTAAGTATGACAAATGCTACGAAGAATTACAGGGAAAGGTGAGGTTCAACACACACATTGAGTAGAACAAAAGGAGCTGGCATAGATAAAGAAACAGGCTATTTTCATATCTGGCCCTAACTGAATACCGTTATGTTTTGAAAAACAAAAACTGAACACACATACATACACACACCTGGTGAGTGAATGTGGATTATAAACATATAAGGAGACAGCACTCATATACAAATCTCAGGTTAAAAAAAAATTACAACTTTTCTTCCTAACAGTGTCAGGTTTTCTGAGATTTACTGTTTTTCTAACCCAGTTGCAGATCTTAGATTTAACACAGTTGGTTTATAATGAAAAACTGATTAGCTCATTCATTAGTTCATTATACTCTAGTTTCTCTATGTAAACTTAAATTTTGTCAATGGAAGTTTCAAATATATGTATGTAAAAACACCAACACAATTACAACTATTGCTGACAATAATTTTTTAGCCGTCTCATTTTTCAGTTTGCTCCAGCTGTAGCATCAGATATAGTAATTAAATATACCTTGAGAGGCGAGAGGAATGTTACGCAGGGTGAAAATTATTTTCTTTCTTCACCAGAACGGTGTAAAAATCTTATTGAACATTTTTTCAGTTTTCAAGTAGAAACAGAAAATTGCAACTTGAGTGGAAAAAATAAAAACTTTGGTTTAGAAGACTAACATGACGTCAAAGGTCATTCTCCGTAAAGATAAAAGTAAACCATCTCTTTAAGGTACCTTGCTCTCAAAATTCCCAATCTCAAGTTTCTCCATTCAAAAGAGAAAGCACTATGCTAAACTATTACTGTCAATTTAACAAGTGGACACAACTGCAGGCAGCAGAAACAGAGGACCTGAGCAGGTATTCAACTAGTAGATACACTACTTTGCTATTTAACTGCAGGAAGATGAACCAGCTATCCGTGCTGTGACACAAAAGGGAATTTGTTTTCACAGGTTTGAAAAACAAGGGGAAACATTACCTTTGCTCCTGCTGTGTTTTCCAAACATGTTCAATCTTCTGGTTACTGGTTTTGAGTGAGGCTTTTGTATACATTTCTAATCTCTTCCTCTTAGCTAAGAGAGCCTTGTTAATGTCAGCTAAAAATCAAAGAATATTTGAAAATTAAGCATACCAAGATACAGTGTGCATTTTATTATAAATGCTGATGAGTTATGCTTTGGAGAAGCGAGTATGCTCTAATGGAAAGAAGTTAATGTGATCTGGGCTCCTGGCTGCTGTGTTCAGAGTGTCCCTCAATCTGCTGCTGGCACCAGTGTGGGTGCTGCATCCCTAAACCCCCCATACTCCCTAACCGACACCTGGCCTCTGGAGCTGCAACCGGTCTTTGCCCAGCCCCACCAACTGCTCTGGTGTCTGCTTGGGGTCCCACCTCTCTCAGGGGCCAGACCAAATAGGACCTACCATGACGTGACTCAGCTCTAGCTTCTTTCATTCTGGCCAGGACGGTAGTGGGTATGGTGTGAGACCGGCTCTGAGCAGACACAGTGAACTGAAACTGTCCAGCAGTTCGAACTCAGGGTAGCAGGAGTGCTTCCATTATGTCCATTTAAATCAGTTCCTTACACAGTCATAATGTGTTCCCCTACCGATTATTATGGTCCAATATGCACTTCTAACATATCATCCATACAATAAGCACACATACATGCTTGAAACCCTAGAAGCACCATCCAATCAGTTCACACTGCGTATCTTCAGACATCGTTTTGGACATCTCACAGTCTATAAATTCTCCATTCAAAGCTAGAGATACCCTGCACAAACCAGACCAAACACAGACATCTTGCTCTCTTCTCTAGTATCTAATGGTGTTTTAGTCACACCATCAAAATCCTTACTAGTTTAGCTGCATGACTACAGTGCCAGCTCAGTTTCCAGACCTTCAAGGAATTTAGTTATGCTGACACATTTTTTCCTAGAAAAAACATGTTTCAGAGTAATATTCAAATTGCTTAAATTTCAGAAATAAATTACAGGTCGTATGTGATTAATATCACTGTGAATATATTGAACGAATGAATGAGAAACTTTTTCATACTTGAGAGACTTAGCACTTTTAAATTAATGTAAGTTAGTGTGTTTGTTTCCCTTCAATTTACATTTGGAGATTTAACAAACAAGTCACAGCTTAAGGTTAATACAGCAATTTCTTTTCCTTCTCACTGCAGATTTCAGGAAACATCTGTCAAATCTCTAATTTGCTGAGGCATCTGCCCCTGCTAATGCCAAACCTATCATTTTTGAGCAGACACAGCATCCTCTCTCTCTGATCCATTCAGTTTCCTTCCTTCTGTCCTATTTCTGAGTCAATAACAAGCAACCCTAGCTTTTTAACACTGAAATCCTCCTATCTAGATTGCTAAATCTCCATTAGCATTCTAATATGTACCTTAACAGCAAAAAGTCTTAATTCATGGTTTAAAGAATTCCTTGAACTCCACTTTCACCTTAAGATTTACACGCAGGTAATGACTGTGTACAGCATTTTCTTATACATACAATGAAAGTATTAGCCAGCTACTGAGTTAGTAATAGTGGCATTGAGATGTTCTCCCTTCCTTCCGCAGATTTTTGATGCTTTGTTACACTGTTATGTGTATTATAAATTCTTTACAAGTTAAATGTGTTTTTTCCCTAACATGTCAGCTATCTAGAATTCAGCTGGAAATTTACCTCTAAGTAAAGCCATCTGAGGCTCTGAAAACGACTAAACTAAATCCAACTAGGTGTCATGCATAAATCTTTCATCACTAGATGACTGGCATTACTTACCCTCATTCTTTAGCTCTTCTATAAACTTGTACTGTTCTTCCTGAGTGCTGGAATTGTCTCTTCTACTGATGCCGTTCTCTAATTTTCTGAAGGTGTGGAGTACAGACTACTCTCTAGCTCATTCTGTATCGCAGCTACAATCTACTTCCAAAGTTCCTTGTCTAGAACTATTTTTTCTATTTAGCTGCTTATACTAACATTTACATGACCCTAATTTCTCACTCAAGTCTTGCAATCCGCAGTCTCTTCTATGTCATTCTAACAAAAAATTAACAATAGCTAACTTATATAGTCCCTTTTCTCTACAATATAATCACTATCTCTTAAACTTCATCTTATAATTGAAATTGATAATCAAACCCACTCATGCATTTTTCCTTTTTTCCTTTGTAATTACCTACGCTAATACTCATATCTCACTTCATATGCAGTTATTCCCTTCTCTTCTTTCCTGTTGCTCTACTTAGATGATACAACTTTTTTTCTGAAAATTAGTTGGTTTTTTTCAGAAATGCTGAAAAGTGCTACAAAGCCTAGTCATTTTGTGTAAAACTTGAAGTTTATTTTATGGTAAGGAATTACTGCCAATTCTGCAACTTAAACATGAATTTTTTCTAATTTATTAGAATGTAATCTTACTTACCTCCAAATCTTTCCAGCATATTCTGTACTTCGCCCCTACAAAATAGTGTTCAAAATTTTTATTTGCCTGTTTTCTGGTATTAGAATAAGACCTACTGTATAAGCTTAAAACTAATTTTATGCACGTACCTATTACTTGAAAGCAGTGACAAAGCTGCTACAGTTATACAAGATAAAAAAGAACTCTCTTCCTGTGAGAGGTCTCTTTTAGACTTATTTGCTGGGTTTTTTAGAAATTTACTAGAATCTATTAGCTTACTCCCCGGTAAAAAGGCAGTATTAGGAATTAAAGGATCCTGAGTGAGGGAGGATGGTAAATAAAATTGATCCTTCCCTATACAAAAAGAAAACACAAAAGGTATTCGGAATATCAAATGAAAACAAGTCCATCACAGTTAGCATGACTGACACAGTAAGAAAAATTGAAGACAAATAATATCAGTGTTATTTTTACAACACTCTTAAGATGATAACACCAGTGTGTAAGGCAGTAGTACAACAGCTGACATGTCCAAAAAGGGACATGGTGCATAAAGAAAATGTTTATATATCATCTTCTCCACATGTTATAACTTGCTTTCTTAAAGAGTAAAAAAAAAAAACAAAAAAACAAACACATTTATACTCCCCATAAATATTGAATTTCATAAGATTTATCTGTAAAAAGAATTTATTTTTCATGCAACAGTTGGATCATTTAAATACTGTTAATGTCTTCAAGCAACTAAGATGAGGGAAAAAAATAATGAAATTATTAACTAAATTAATTAATTATTATTAAAATAAAACTTAAATCATCTTTCGAAAGAAACTAAGAACTCAAACATGTCAGTTTTTTATGGATATTCAAAAGTATCTACAAAGAAACTGCAGAATTACTCATTTTAAATTGCTACATTTTCTTTTTCTACTTACAACTACTGTATTATCTGTCACCTGATTTTTTAATCAAATACTTGGAAAAAAACCCAAAACAAACCCAAGCAAAACAAGCATAGTGAATAAATAAAATCATTATCTATTTAAGACTTGCTTATTTTGGGAAAAATAATTCAAAAAATCCTAACCTTACCCCACATCATCTGGAACCACATGAGTAGTCACCAGAGGTCTTTTCTTTCCATGCTTGTCCAATACTGGTGTTTCACCTTAATACAAATTTCAAAAAGATTTACAAAAATATCTGCTATTTTGTAGGTGTCTTTTGAATTATTAAAAGTGTAATTACTTTTCTGTAATGCTACTTCTCTGAACATGTCTCACGGGTCTCCGTTTCCATTTATAATACACACAGCTCCTAAAACTTTGAATCTGGAGTTGACAGATGGTGGTGAATTATTCTGCAAGGCCAGGTTTGAGCTGGCGCTGCCCCGAGTTCCTCTAGACTGGTCTCAGCCAGTTTTAGTTTCTCTGTCCGCTACTATACAATTACTCCCAACTCACAATATAACAGTCATCAGAAAGGTAAAAATAATCTAAAAATTGAAAAAGCCCAATGTGTAAGAATTTCATTTTGCTGTAAAGTAAGTACTGAAATTGTGTACTCTGACGTTTAAAAAAGCAAAATCATGAACAGATATGTATATTCTTTCCAAAAAACAAAAATCCTTGGCTGTCAGATTTTTATTAACAAGGGGGGTGGGGGAAATTTAGTCTGAACAAATGAAGAAGGGGAGAAATTAAGAGAAGCAAGCCCAGAGATAACCGCTGAAAGACAAAAATCCAGAAATGGGGGTACATGAAACTTTACAAAAAATCATCATGTGATGAATGAGAACTGCATTTTTAAGCAAAGTCCACTTTTTTATGCCACTCCCTCAGAACTAAACAAGAATCTTTTGGTTGATTCCTTTGCTTTTTTCCTCATTTTCCTCTGCTTCTTCCTCTTTCTTTTCTTCGGTTCAGATTCTTCCTGAAGTAGTTATAACCCTACCAGCATTACAGCTCCAACTACCCTGCCCGACTCAGCACTCCACACAAGCGAGCAGAGCTCTGCTGTTCTATCCTGATCTCGCAGTGTTACATGGAGCCAGGTGATACAAAGATATGGCATTGAGGTAAGGTAACAAAATCATGTACGAAAATCCTCCTCTATTTAAGAGTCCACCTATCATTTTAAGACATAATAGTGCACTATACAGAGCTATTCTATTGTGTTCTCTTCCCTGAACAATCAAAACTATACAATAGGAATCTATCTGCCACAAACATTATGAACCATGCTTACTCAGACGCTCATATGGAAGCGTCTTAATTTCTATTCAGTCAGAAATATTATTAACTTAACTTTAAAAAAATAATAATAAAATCATATAAGCACCTTCTCTAATATCATCCTCTGATCCACTCAGCTCTTTTCTTTCCTCCTGAAAGTCATAGGTAGGTATGGCTTTATCTTCCTGTGCTGGTTTACCGGCTTTTCCTCCATGCTTTCTTCCCGATGGTGCCATAATGAGATTTTCTTCCTACCGAAATGGTATGTTGCATTTGTTATCTAGCTTTCCCACAATAATTAGAATAGATTTTCATGCTTACATTGACCTGTTATTGACACCTTTGTAACAGTCTCCACCTGTAAGGATATTCAAAAAGTCAAACTGCATTCCCCAAAAGCTATGCCAATATTCTATTTTACAAAATACAGAAATGATAAACCATAAAAACAACCTGACTCTACAGGCCATCCCACACTAGGCATATACATACACATATGCCATTTTTAAAAATCCTGGGCAATTTTCACTTTCTGAATTATCTTTATTTTTAGCTATTATACCTCTGCATTCTGTAATGGAACTAATGCAGCTTCTTAAGTGTTTTACAAATACATTGCCCTCTTAAAAAACAGTAGTCATTTCTTCAGTAACACTGATTTTTATATATTGTGTATTTTTGTAAATATACAAGGAGTAAAATAGAAGGAAGGAAAATAACATAGTCATTATTAAACACGAGTGACAAAGTAATTTTTTCCTCAGCACTTTACCAACAATAGAAATTATCATCTATCTGGACTTCTATAAGGCCTTTGACACAGCCCCCACAACATCCTTCTCTCTAAATTGGAGAGAGATGGATTTGAGGGCTGGACTGTTTGGTGGATGAGGAATTGGTTGGATGGTCGCATCCAGAGGGTAGTGGTCAATGGCTCAATATCCAGATGGAGATCAGTGACAAGCAGTGTCCCGCAGGGGTACGTATTGGGACCAGCACTGTTTAGTATCTTCATCATAGCAGCATGGAGTGCACCCTCCACAAGTCTGCAGATGACACCAAGGTGAGTGGTGTGGTTGACAGGCCTGAAGGATGGGATGCCATCCAGAGGGACCTGGACAAGCTGGAGAAGTGAAAACCTCATGAGGTTCAATGAGGCCAAGTGCAGGGTCCTGCACCTGGATCAGGGCAACCCCCAGTATCAATACAGGCTGGGGGATGAAACGATTGAGAGCAGCCCCATGGAGAAGGAGTTGGGGGTACTGGTGGATGAAAAACTGGACAGGAGCCACCAATGTGCAGTCGCAGACCTGAAGGCCAACCGTATCCTAGGCTGCATCAAAAGAATCATGGCCAGCAGGCTGAGGGAGGGGATTCTGCCCCTCTGCTCTGCTGAGAGCCCACCTGGAGTCCTGTGTCCAGCTCTGGAGCCCCAGCACAGAAAAGACATGGACCTGTTGGAGTGGGGCCAGAGGAGGCCACAAAAATGATCAGAGGGCTGGAACACGTCTGCTATGAGGAAAGGCTGAGAGAGTTGGGGCTGTTCAGCCTGGAGAAGAGAAGGCTCCAGAGAGACCTTACAGCAGCCTTCCAGTATGTGAAGGGGGGCTTACAGTAAAGATGAGGACAATCTCTTTAGCAGGGCCTGTTGCAACACGACAAGGGGTGCTGGTTTTAAACTTAAAGAAGGTAGATTTAGACAGGATACATAGAAGAAATTCTGCACTGTTGAGCATGGTGAGGCACTGCAACAGGTTGCCCAGAGAAGTTGTGGATGTCCCCTCCCTGGAAATGTTCAAGGCCACTGGACTGGGGCTTTGAGCAACCTGATCTAGTTGAAGATGTAGGAGGGTTGGACTAGATGGCCTTTAAAGGTCCCTTCCAAACCCAACTATTCTATGATTCTATGAATACACAACAGGAAACAGCAAGGTACTGAATCCCTGCTGAAATATTTGTTCTCTTGTTACCTCTGGCTGATAGCAAGCGGCATGAAGCATTTTAAGTTGTGTCACATGACATATACTTTTAAAATCCTTCAAAAAATAACAGGATTACTTGTAAGATGGACAGAATACAGAAAAAAGTATCAGCTGCAAACTCCCTATTTTCCAAACTGAGCAAGATGTGACTCCGCAGTGGATAAACTTATCATTCTAGGCGCAATTCAACACAGCTAGAAATATCAATAGGTTTTCCACAAGCCAAGGCAAAGATAGATCTGAAAATTAAGTTCACACACTGAAACTGAGAACTCCAGTAAAGATCTTTTGAATTTCCAGGACTGTGAAGTCCCCCCAACATTAACACCTGTCTCACACACCTGAATTTCCCATTTCTGTTTTTGGAATTAGTTGTCCATGGCTATGAAAATATGGGTTTTTTTAACCACAAATTATACAGATATATACAACATGATCACACTAAGCAAGGAACATTGCTTTTTAATACCCACTTTTTCCTGTGATTGATGCTTCTCTATATAGTACGAAGTGAAGATTTTTAGACATTTCTTTAAGAAAAAACGCCAAACCTCTTTAAATTATTAATTGGAAAATCAAAAGCTCTTGCATTAAAATTATGCTCAAATGAGAGAAAATTTTCAGTACTCATTCTGCTTTTCAACTACTGCATCCGTTGAAAACGTGATTTAAGGAGGAAGGTACTGGTACAGCACCTGGCTGTGCCTGTCTGTGCTGCCAAACAAAGCGCTTCACCTTCAAGCTGCCACACATACATTTTCTCTCACATACAGGCACTTTTCTTTGTACTGATGATCAGTACACAAAGCAGAGCTCCCCAGTCCCTCCATGCACTGTAAAACAATCTTGCCACCTCACAACCCCACAGTCTTTACCCATCCTGTGTAGCTACCTGCTTTGGCCAATTCAAGTATCTTCAATCCACAGTTGTGTATTTAACAACGATTTCCTCAGAGAAATTCACCTTCTTTTCTCACCCTGCCCCAAAAGATGCAAAATAAACCAGCATTTGTGTGAATCTCCTATGTAGGGCTTTTCAGCATGGGTCCCACCTGTTTGTACCTCAGAACAGCAAGGGAGGCTTGGACCTGCACCACAGCACCGCCACAACAGGGCTCCAGGGGAAGCCACTCGGGTGCCAAAGGCTGAGGGCACCGCAGTGTCGTAGCCCTGTTCTCCCTCTCCCTCCGACCTACGATGGTCGCTCCTCCGCTCTCGCCGCCTCAGCCCGGGGCAGCACCAGCGGCGCGGAGAGGACGCCTCACAGCCTCCCTCAGGCGGGAGGGAACCCCACTCCGTGCCGAGCCTCTCACCCCCGCCGGCAGCAGGGTCCCTGGCAGCCCCGACGCTCCCTGAGGGGACGGGCGCGGGCGCAGTAACACCTCCTTCTCCCCGCCGTGCGGCGGGCACGTCGTGCTGAGTGTCAGCAGTAAACTCGTTTAAACCTCACCTCGTTTTAGCCTTTTTTTTTTCCTCTTTAAATACAAATAGCTTTAACTCCTCATTCAGACAACAAAAAGTCTGCAAAACATGCTATGATGTGTGCATGTTATGATGCCGAGGGAGGATTATTCCTCAAGGCAATGCAAACAGGCACTATTTCTCCAGTCAGAGTAGTTTTACAAACTACGTATGTTTCAGATTTTTTTACTGTTCTCACAGGATTTTCTGTCCTCATCCAGAAAAGGTATTTTGCTCTTTACTTACAAAGACCAAATACAAAATCTAAATTAAAAAAAACCAAAACACATAGCTCTGTGCTGCTGCTTCTCCGCTTCCCTCCCTCCTCCTGCTGCAGGAGTCAGTCAGGGCCTGGCTGGGTGCTTCGTTGTCACCACAGTCGTTTTCGCGTAGTATCTTGCTTTCCTCACTTGCCTTTTTTTTTCCCCCAGGTACCATGTGCACAAATTTTTAGCAGTGATTTTCACTGGATGCTTCTCAGTAATTTTATGCTCTGTCTTTTGGCTATTAGTATTGAAGTTAAAGAAAATGCCATCAACTTACCTTCAAAACTGCTTAAACAGAAAAGGAATCACAGTGACAGCTGAGCTACCTCTGCAAACTATTTATGCCTAACTTCAGCAGAAAATCCACCTTAAAATTTCAACTGAGTTTTTCCAACTACTTTGATTAGAATGCCAAAAGTTAGTTTAGAAAAAAAACAGATCATAGGAAAACTTGAATCTATCTAATAATAATTTGAAGTGTAAGAAGCTATCAAAGCTTTCTTGTATTTCTTCAAATGTCTCATTTTCTGCCAGTCTGAAATACTGTAAACTACTTACGTTTCAGCATAATATATAGTGCTAGCATGAAACAAACTTGATAATTAGAAGCACCTGCATTTTTACAGTACTCAAAAGTTTGATTCTACTTTGAGAATCTATCCATGCTTCAAATTAATATTAAAATTATTACTGTTGGAAGTTTTTTTTAAGGGAAAAATAAGAACTTTAACATAAGGATTCATATGCATTAATAGCTAATTTTTCAGAATGGGTGAGTTTTGGTTTACTTGAAAACAAACTTAACAGACAAAATTTTTAGCACATTTTAGTTAATTTCAAAGTAAAACAAGTATCTTACAATACATATGCACATACATTTCGTACATCATTTGATTACGAAAATTAATGCTTTTTTGAATACTGCTAACACAATTAACTGAAGATACATTGCCAAAAATTTCTGCTTGAAAAGATTCAGTATCCTTTCACACATAAGACTGCACTATTCTGATGTCTCAGCAAAATACAGGGCCAAACCCTGTCAAATTTAAAAACACCAAAGCTTCACATGTCAGTACAAATATTGTTTTCTGAAGTGAAACACTGCTCCCGTACATTGCTACATCAAAACAGTTTGTTACCCATTCATACAGAGAGGCACTTTTGCTTTTGTATTTACAATGCTTGTAAAATACCATACCTTAATCATTTTAATTTGATTACAACCCTCTTTGTAATCAAGTTAAGAAATAACACCATTGTATTCTTTGGAATATAATACAACAGATATACAGTATCTTTCAAATAACCATTAGTTGTTTTTTTACTGTGTATTTTTTTTATTAGCATACATTTCTTCCAGATCCCAATTAAATACTACAAATAGGGCGATTAATTGTCACTGTGCTTTAAAGAATGTCAACATCAAAAAGTGCCTACTAAATGACAAGTTACATAATTCTCAATTTTCCCCTAGGACTAAAAAAAAAAGCAGCAACGACAGAAATTTGCAAAATGTTTTGGAATGCAAGATCAAGGACCTGTTAAGCTGATCCCAGACAACTTTGCCTTCCAACATTTTATGTAGCTGGCAACATCCACTGCAATAAATGCAGCTATATTTCTTTAGGTAACCCTTTTTATAAAAAAGGATAACACGGCCATGAACTAACAGTTGTAAAGTAAGATCTGTTGAAAACTGCCTATGTACAGGTTTCCCGCAACTTTATTTTGTTGTTGTTTTGCATTGTCACAGCTCCAGCAGCTTGTATATCGTGAAGAGTACTGTGGAGATTCTAACTGTAGATGCATGATTTTTTTTTCTTCATATCAACGCAGTTAAATGTCAAACCATAAAAGACACTTATGAGAGAGAGATTTTAAATGCTTATCACATCTTGAGGTAGACTGATCTCCAAAATAAAGCTCTTCTACACTTTGATTCGTTCATGACCAACTTCCTTTTGGATCCTTCGCCTTGGAAAAATCTTTCGTTTAAGTGCAATTAGCTGAGGAGAGAAAAAGATACAGTATTTAGTTCTCTGCTGGGCTAAAGGTGCACAGATGGTCAGGCTTTCATCCTAGAAACTATAAAATCTGTATTATCCATGGTTATTAAGTCAATACTGTCTTTTTCGCCCCCCCCCACTGCACAGGAAGAAAGGTATTTACTCAAATTCATCATTAGGCGTGCACATTTCCATTGGGTTTCTCAATAACCGGAATACAAGCAGAAAGTGAAAAATACAGTATGCCTACATTCTGATTATTTTCAAGTTAATTTGTGTATTTAAATTAATGTAACACCAGGCTACATTCAGTTTCTAAAAGATCAACACAAAGCTGGCATCCTAAAACAGTAATTATATACCTAGCTGTACTACTGAGTTGAGTACCCCCTTCCAAATCAAGTTACTAATGGAGGGCAAGTTTCCTAATATTTCCTATAAAAAAGGCTGAAAATCAAGGGAAAGATTCATGCAAAAGTTACAGGTGGGAAAAAAATAATAATCAAAAGCCAACCTTTAAAGAATTACACCCTCTTCATCAGACCACGGAAAAGGTTACTTAAGGCCCCAACCTGCAAAGAATTACCCATATGATTTGTACCATTGACTCCCTCCAAGTTTAGCAGGATTAATCATGTTCAAGAAAGCCGTTTTATGCTTGCAAATGTGGTGGGTTTTTTCCTTCCAGCTGGATTCAAAACGTTTTTAATTCAATAGGAGTCTTTGCAATTACTTAGGGATGAGATTTGGATAAGGCCTCTAAATACCTCAAGATTCTCTTCAGGACTACAGTATTGCTATTACTTACATTTTCTTCTGTTAACTTACTTTGCACTTTTACCAATATGTCTGTTAATAGACCAAGAATTTTGAAAACAATTATGATTTTGAGCATCCAAGTTTAGCACACTGACAATGGACCTGACAGTCACAAGGCACCTGAAGAGGGAATACCACTGTCCTTCCCACCATATGACTCTCTTCTCAAAGAATCTCAACATGAAGACTTAAAAATTGAAGCAACCCAATCATTAGTCATGTAACTTCTTTACTTCCTTTATGAAGGACAAATCCTAGCTACTTTTCAAAACCTATTTAAAAAAAAAAATCTATCTTACATCATCCTGAAGATACAGCAATCTATTAAGTGTTATAAATTTGATAAGAAGATATTAATTTTACCTGTTCAGCAAAAAATGAGATGACTGTAAATACAATAAGTGTTACTAGAACACAGTGGGTCCAGAATTTGAGCTTGTCTCTGTATGCCCTCCTGCATAAAGAAAGACAGAAACAGAAAAACAGCTTCATATATTACAAATTCAGATATATAAACTTTAACTTAAAGGGTGGCTAGAAAGAGGACAGAGGCTCTCTCTTCACAAAGAGCCACATAGAGAGGACAAGGGGCAACAGGTACAACAAGTACAAGTTGGATTGGGAGAGGTTTCTCTTTTTTTTTCTTCTAGTGAGAACAATCATTCACTGGAACAACCTCCCCAGGGATGTGGTGGAGTCCCCACCACAGGAGGTTTTCCAGACGCAACGGGACAGGGTGCTATATCGTCTCATCTAGGCTCCCTTTGACACGAAATGCTGGACCAGATGATCTTTCGAGGTCCCTTCCAACCTGGGCTGTCCTATGATTCACTCATTTTGATAACATTTTGATAAACGTCGATTTCCACCAGCATTTCAGCATGCTTTAACCCACCTAGTAGAAATCTGCTTTGGTTACAAACAAGTCAAAATAAAGTGTTCTTTTGAAGCTAACAAAGTCTTGATGGATGTCGTCAAAAAGGGCGACAACAATATGTCCACTCCTCCAGCCCAAATTTCTACAGCTAACTGCTGAAATGGGTTTGCGCCGCCCCCCCCCGTCACTGCTGCAGCAGAGCTTGTAGCACTACAATCCACACCTATTGTCACCTACAACCCTTCTGATTCATTCTACAGTTCCACGAACATTTTCTTTCCTTACTACCAGCTATTTCTCATAATTTGCTGATCAGCAACAAAATGACCTAGTCTTCTTGTCTCATTTTTATCACTGTACTTGCCAACCTTTTGCTTGTATTCTCAAATCAACTACCCCAATTTCTGAAGTTATTTATGAAATGGCAAGAGGTACACACAAAAACTTCCACACGTTATGCAAAAATGAGACGTGTATTTTTTCAGATGATTATCCAGCTGATTATTGCTGTCTGACAGATTAACAAAAAAATCACTTAGTGAGAAACGTACCGGTTTATATTGTCCCTGTGCAACAGGCACTCCAAACAATAGTTTTTTGGTTTTTTTTACATTTAAAGAAAGCCAGAAGTCCTGAATTTAAAAAACCCTGAAACTTTTTCTTTAAAGTAGGTTAGGACCAATCAATGAAATGGTAATGACCGTATGAGCACCAGAAAAACAGGAAACCTGCAAGTCTCAAACTTTAGTCCATTTCAAATCTTTTCATTTTATTTTCACTGTTAACTCCTTCATGACAATACTAGGGAAAAAAGGACTCGTAGCAATCTGTTCTATAATTACATGCTATCACACTACACTCGAAGAGAACCCGTGCAGCATACCATTCTTGGAGTTCATGCATGTGAAGGAAACGATTCCGATATTCTCTTGGCAGTTCAAACTGGGAAGGTATGGGAAACATTGATTCATAAAAATCCCTTAGCACAGCTTTCACCGTCTGAGCATCCTTATGATTGTGATCAATATTGTCATTTAGGCAAACAAATTTTCTAGAAAATAAGAAGTCTTTGTCAGAATACTTCCTTTAATAATACGGCAAAGGTATTGACAAACCAAGAACACAGAATACCTTTAAACAAAATTGATACAGTATCGTTTTACAACCAAATTGATATATTTGATACTTGTAATCAGTTTCCTTACTGTAGCATTATTCTAGATTAATTTGATTTTAATCCTGAGAGCACCAATGCTGACAGCGAGTCAAGTCCTCTGAGGAATCCGATGACAAGCCACAGTTCTCTCTTCTATTTATATAATGCTGCCATCTAATGGGCACACAACACCCCAGAGCCCACTGCTGGATACAGACAGCAGGTTAGAAGGCCAGCATTATGATTTGGGTAGGGGTTTTCTAGTTTGAAATAAATTATCATAAGTAAGGTATCTTAAATAACAAAATAAGCTCCACTGTAGGAGGTAAACATACTACATTATTAATATTTTACTGTGTATGCTACACTCTTCGGAGAAAGTCAACATAAAAAGATATAGAAGACTGTACAAGAGAAGGTAAAGCTTGGTCCCGAGGATTTGAGTTACTGAGAACACTGTATGAACTGGGTAGAAAATGACTTGAGTCACAGACCCAAAACTGAACTTGTATAATCAATTAAAACACAAACAACAACCTGGATAGAATTTATATGGAAATCACTGTGACCAAATAAGTATGCTTCCAGTAATGCCTCTTGCAGAGAGTTACTTCTTGGATAAGAAACACACAACTATCTAAGTTACCACAAATTACTGAAACCAAAGCAGCAGCTAGTGTGATAGACCATTATGTACCCTTGGCCACTCTGACCTGGTGCTCGACGACAAAAATAATCTTGCCCACATATGGGCAAGATTATGTGCTTTATTTATATTGCAAGATAAAAGACCCTTACATTTTCCCCAGAGGGAGAAATCATATCTGGTGACATACGCCTTGTAATTGCTAACCTTTGTGAATAAGTAGTTCTGGTCAGCTGTATTCTCTATAGTATGGTGTGCTCTTTCAAAGAGCAAAGTTCAGACTTCCTACATGAAGCTGGAAATCAGCAGAACTCTATAATAGAGCATGTGAATCAGCCTGCACAGGGAATCACCACTTTTCATCAGTCTGTAGTGAACCTGGCATAATTGGTAACCTTGCTCTAGACAATTACCTGCAAAGGATAAGCAGTCATTCATCTGAGAACAAAATACACCTCTGCTCTTCGAAGATGAGCAGGCTATGCCTACACTATGAAGTAATACTATGCAAAGCAGCTGGTTATGGCAATCCTATGTCTACACTATAAGCATTTTGTGAGCTTCCTCTGGACTACCCTGACCTTGCTGCTCAGACTGGCAGCTCATTAGCCCTGGGAATGCAGTAGCTGCCCTCCTGCAGTGTATATCCCCATTTAGCTTCATCTGAAAGAAATGCAGTTTACAGACCGAGAGTCTGCTACACAGAGCAAACCAAAGCACAGCAAGTGGCAGCAATGAGAATATTAACCTGTGGAAAGACTGTTTTAATCCGTCCAAAATAAACAAAATCTGACATTCCTTCAGATATTCCAGAATTAATGCCTAGACAATTAAGGCTCCCTTTTCCTTAAGGATGCAAAACAAACATCGCGGGCAGATCAGTAAGTGAAAAATACCTTTAGTTTGTCCCAAAAGAGGCACCGAATACCTGTTTTTAGACACTGTGTATAATTATTACGTTGTTTTATATGCAGGGAAGGCATGGCAAAGAGAAAGAAATGGCATGCCTACATAGCCCTGCCAGCTCTCCTTTGCTAGCAAGGTACGACCACTGCACTGTACTTTGCAGGAATACAGCCCAAACAATTGACTCAACCTTACTTCACGAACCAGCCAACAATCTCACACTACAACACACTACTGTTCCTTCACAGAAAACAAAACAAAACACAAAAGGGTATACATAAACGGAGTCTCAGGCTGAGTCCATAACAGCATGCCAGTGCATCATATGAAAATTAGGCAAGATTCAAGACAGATCAGCTCACCTGCCTCATCTTGCCTGTTGAGGTTCCTGAGACAACAGACTAGACACCCTTACTCAAATACATCCTCATCTAAGGACGCAATCACTCCACAGAACAGGCAGCTCCATTTTAAGTTGCTAGAAGGCCTCAATCCATTAGGCGTACTCATACCACAACCGACACAGTGTCAGGATCAAGTCTGACATCAGCAACCACCCTTCAAAACAAGAAGCCAGTGATTGCAAGCATGAACTTGAACACTGAAGGTGAGAATCTCATGTTATGTGCGCTCCTTGGGCCTAACAGAAGGCTTGAAATCACACTTACATTTCAAGAAAAAGTTCTAGCCAGCAGATACAAAGAAATGGAGAACGAAGGGGAAGTGGCAGGATGAGTTAGGACACCACCCACTTTTCTTTTGAACCAGGTCAGTGTAGGAACTGAAATGCAGGTGGTGTGTGGCCAGAAGGCACTCTTGGAAGGAGGAGCAATAGACACAAACCACCTTAAGCGGTAAAATGTCTCAAGACTAGCATTCCGCTTTCTGAAGGAATGACCTAGCAAGTAGTACAGTGTAAGAGGCAAGTGAAAACCTGCTCTTCACCTACAAATGCAAATAATGGTGTAGCTTTACAGGCAGCTGACATTACCCAATAGCTTGCTGTGACCTGCAAGAGGACGCTTCACTTTCCCTGGCCCAAGGTACCTGGTCCTACTTTCCTCCTTGCTCTGTCTTCTGACACAGGTCAAACCCCTCCTTAAGGCCAAACTCATTAAACTGGCAGAGAACTCTCTAGTTTTCTGAAGACAGAAGCAAGATGCAAGACAAGAGTATGCAACCAAGAGGAAGGAAGGAGATGGGTGGAGGCACTGTCTCACTTTTAAGACAGCTGGCTATTAAATTATCTCACCCATGTCTTGTTGAAACCCAGTCTTATGCAATGGGCTCCAGACTACAGTTAAAAGCTTCTGCAAACTAGATTCAGAGTTCAGTCTTAAATACATCATCCGTTGTATTGCAAGGAGGTTGCTGTGAAATGTATCCCAGGACATTTATTTTCCCAATTTATCTCTCAGTCATTTCAGGAGCCTAATTCAACAATACAGAGCCTATTCTCAGATTTGGGTATCTAAACCTTTCACCACCGCAGAGTGGAGAAGACAGAGGACTTCAGATGATTTCTCAGCAAATATGAAAAAAAAAATGTTAATACCTCTTGCCATGTTGTAACAGAGCATGAAAGCATAATGGGCATGCAAAACTAATTTTGTAACAATATAATCCACATAATAAGTTTTATTTTAAAATGCTACATAAAGCAGATCAAAATGCTCTTCCTTTAAAAAAAAAAATACCTGCAATACAAACTGTATGCCCCTAGAATGGCAAAAAAGAAAGACTCAAAAATAGCTGAAGTTTATTTACATGTTTTCAAAGATTTTAGCTATATAAAAATGTAAAAGAAATTAAGGAGATAATCCCTAGCATAACAAAGAGTAGTCACTTAGCTTCAGTTAAATAGAAAAAATTAGAAGTACTTTTCGTTAAAATTGGTCTTCCCCTGGAACACACAGTGTAGAAATACATTGCAATAAATTATGTTTTCTTCAGTGTAAACAGCTGAAGCAGAAAATGAAAGCCACGTCAAAACTTCATAGAAATCAAGAAACAGGATACCTGGGATTTTTTCGTATGTCATCCAGCTGACCAACCACATGAGAAACATTTGTGCGAATCATTTTGAAGGCAATTTCCTCTTCTCCCATGATTTCAAACCTTATTGTTAAAAAAATATACATTAATAGAAGAATCTAAATATTTCAATAATTTTCTTTATATTCCAATAAATATTAATTTAATAATTTAATAAAAATAATTTCTAATATCACTGTCCAACTTTCATTAGAATTTATAATTTGATTTCTATCAGTATACTTACATTTTTCAGTTAGTGTTCTTGTACAGAACCATTTTCCTGTAGTGCTAATAGTAGCCAGCCATAAACCGAAGAACTGAATTCTAATACAAATTATGTAAACTACAAGTTTTGGCATAAGAGTAACAATTAGTCTGAAAGTAGACACAACACTTACTATGCTTGCTTTTATTTTTTTAAACACACACAACTTACAGTTGTAACTTATAATTACACTTCAGACATGAGAAAACATGTTATTATCAAATCACCAATCCCAGAAAAATCTTAAAATAAAATTACAGAAAAGTATATAAAACTCCAGCCTTATATACAAATAAGATGTTCTTCAACCACCTAATTAATAATCTGCAGACATAACAAGTATATGAAATGCAGAAGTATATAATTTCTGAAGGATATAATGAGTTTAAAAGAGGGTCAAATGCTTTTTCAACAGTCTTACTAGAGGCACCACACTTACCTTTCTCACCTTTCTTATCCTGATATAAGAAAAGATGTGCTCCTTTAAGTCTCACCTGAGAACATACTCCATTTACTAAGCTCACAAAATTAATAATAGGTATTCAATATTGAAGTTCGACAGAACAAAAGCACAGCTTATATCTTAAACTGACTTACAGTAATATGTTTACATCACTAAGCACAGCAAATCCTTGCCTCCACCCCAACATTTTTCAGTCTCATTTGTTGTGTTAGTTTTCCAGTTTTAGCATAAATTCTTCTGGACAGAGATTTATTTATAAAGCTTACAGCACAACTTGAGGTACTATGAATTAATGTATAATAATGTCTAAAAGTTGCCTGAAACAGTATCTGTAACCTGCTTTCGTTCTACAGTTTTATTTAACTATGTAGCCACTCCTGGGGCTTTGGATACTCCGCACCACTCTCCCCTGACCAACACCGCTGGAGAGGCAACGGACAGGAGACGAGGCTACAAGCTCCACGCCAGCAAACAGCCTCACTGGCATGCAGTTGGTCTGCAGGTTTCAGAGAAGAAAGATCTGAGAGAACCTGATCTCAGGCAGACCCACACAAATACAGTTATTCAAACAAACCCACAATCACGATCATGGTTTGTCCTGCCCTTTCCAAAAAGGGATGGAAACCCTTTTCTTGTCTGTCTCCCTCCCTCCCTTCCTCCCTGTCACTCCTCCTTGCAGGAAAACTACAAGATAGTTGAGGCTAAAATGCTTTTTCGTTTCTTTCTTTTTTTTTAAGCTTCAGTAAAAGGAAGGATGAAGCAGATTTACCACTTCTAGGTACAGGACAAGCTCTTTCCTCCTTTTTATGTTACTTTAGCTGCCTTCACTTACTACATACAGTCAATTTATGTAGCCATCTAAAGATACTCTGGCTTACTGTTGTACAACACAAATTAGGATCTGGCCCAAGATGACACAGGTAGCATGGAAATATTTAGTCTGCTAAATAAGAAACTATGAAAACCAATCACATCATTCTGCACAATGAAACCTACCTAAGTAGATACCTATGTTTCTTCAGTTTCACTGTTAAAATAAATTGAGCTGAGATTGGTTAACATACACGTACAATCTTTGGTCACGCGTGCAGTTATACGTCTTCTTACTGCTTTACAAAACCTAGCATGGCTTTTCACAGGACTGTAACAACATACCTGTATTTGTTTTTGTCCTTGTACGCCTTACGAATTCTGTCAGTCACAGGTTTGCAATTAGTCACTAAGTTTTTTGTTACTGGAGGCTGGAAGAAAACGTCGCTTAGATTACAGGTTATTGAAAATTATAGAGTCTGTTATAAAGATGTACTTGTATTACAGCTAGAAATGCCTGCATATGCTTTACTCTCCTGGAATGAAAACCACTAGTTTCTTCATCAACTGTTGAGGGGAAAAACAAGAAACCCATACTGGTGCATAACATCATGATTTCCTATGCATATAAATATTATATGAAAAATACAGATTATATTTGGCAAAAACATTGCAACTTTTAGATTTCATCCTCAATATATGGTTTGGAAATTTTAGCTCATTTGACAAATGTCTTTGACATTCCTCTGGTAGAGGCCACCAGTAACACTGGCCAGGCAAACTCTGCAGAACAGCTGATACACATTAGGCCTTATTTCTATCACAAGCTATGTTGAAACAGTTCTGGGAAATAAAATCCCTGTTCTCCAGGGATATTTCTGTGGTAGTATACTCCCTCCAAGAAATTTAGCTGTTGCAGACAACAGAAGTAAAAATAAATTAGGCCTCTGTACTAAACACAAACACTATTTTGTCACTGTTTGAACTGACTGACAATATTAGTACATTAGGCATTACTGCTTAGATGAGTAATTTTTTACTAACTCTCCAAAAAGATTAAAGTAATTTGACATTGTTCCCAACCACTGAGACTTCTTTTTAACCCCATCTTCAAACATATTCATGGCAGCCATCCTTTATTACTACTCTTTAAAGTTTTTACATCTCAGAATTTTGCAAACTGAATTGAGAGTCATAAAGAGGCAAAATGAAGTAAGGCTATACTGGATGTAATGTCCTCAGACTGTGCAGGATTTTCAAATCCACATTTTCATTTCTTCCAATCACACTGACAGAATGGTTTTATTTGTTGTAACTTTTCTGGAATTCAGACTTAGTGGGAAGTATTTTTAAAACCTTGTAATATAGCCTGCTAAGAATACAAGGCAGGATAGATGTCCCCAGAAAAAAAAAAAAAAAAAAAAAAAAAAGGAAAAAATAGTCAATGTCCATATACATTTATCTACACACATACTGTAGATCTTTGTACTATGATTTGTATGTGTTGGGGATCAAAAATACTCTTCTCCTACCCAACAGTTCATGTTCTGTACTCATCAAAATTATTTTTGCTTTGATGCAGTATTGGTTTGAAGCTATAAAACACCAGGTCATCAATTTAGCAAAGCACATGCACACATTTTTTTCAGATGGATAGGTTAATGCAGGAATTAAATTCTTGTTGTAAAAGAAATCTAGGTATTAGTATCAGATCTAAAGATTCATGATTCCTAAATTCCAGCACATTTAATGAGAATTTAACCACTAAAACAGAAATAAAGGACTTTAAATCCTTAAGGAACATCTAGTCCTAAGACCTCAGTTTTCACAGAATCACAAAATTGTTCAGGTTGGAAGAGACCTCAGGAGCTCATCTGGTCCAACCTCCTGCTCATGCAGGGCCACCTAGTACCAGTCGCCCAGGACTTTGTCCAGATGGCTTCTGAACATCTCCAAGGATGAAGACTGCCTAGAAATGGGCAACCTGCACCAGTGCTTGGTCATCCTCACAGTAAAAGGGTGACCTGATGTTTAGAGGAAACCCATGTTTTCAGTTTGTGCCCATTGCCTCTTTTCCTGTCACTGGGCAGCACTAAGAAGAGCCTGGCTCCATCTTGTTTTTGCCCTCCCTTCAGATATGTATATTCATTCATGAGATCCCCCCTTGAGACTACTCTTCTTTAGGCTCAATAGTCCCAGTTTTCTCAGCCTTTCCTCACAGCAGAAATGCTGCAGTCCCTTAACGACCTCCACGGCCCTTCACTGGACTCCTTCCAGTATGTGTCCCTTGCACTGAGGAGCCTTGAACTGGACCCAGCACTCCAGGCACGGCCTCACCAGTGCTGGCTCATGTTCAACTTGGTGTCCACCAGGACCGCCAGGTCCTTTTCTGATAAGCTGCTTCCCAGCTGGGCAACCCCCAGCATAATACTGGTGCATAGGGTTGTTCCTCCCCAGGTGCAGGACTTTGAACTTCTTGCTGAACTCCACGAGGTTCCTGTCAGCCCACTTTTGGCAGTTAAAACAAGTTAAACTGAAGCCTTCAAATTAGGAAGAATTATTGTAAAGATGTCCATCTGATGGTTTGGTGGTTTTAGGGCGTTTGTTTTGGTTTTAAATACATGGGTTATAATTCAGATAAAGACTTATCAGAAAGTTCTAGTCAGAGAGGTATTGGGCTTATTGTCTTTTCGATGCACAAAAGTGAATTTTCTTAAAAAAGATGACTTTTAAAATCCCAAACATAACAACATCCTAAACCTCAGCTTTTCTCTGTTTTTGAAGGAAATTAATGGCTTTATAAGTTAGGAAGTAGCTTGTAAAATTGTCATTCTAAAACACTTACTTCATGTACACACGTAGAAATTTTTATAAATACTTTCCTTCTAGAAATCACACCAGCTTTTCAAGCACAGTAAATACAAGCTTGGGAAAGAAACCAAGCATCTTTTAAGACCAAAGTTTCTTACCAGATTGGGATCATAATATGCTTCCTGAGTTGGTGGAATGACATGGATTTGAGTGATGTTGGCAGGAAGAGCTTTAGAGCAATTTATTAGCATTTGTTCTAGTCCCGTCAAATCCTAACAGAAAAAGAAGAAAAAAAAAGAAAAAAAACAAGATAACCTTGTTTTCTGACTGACATAGTTCTGAAAATCCAGGGTGCACAGATATTTAATGTTACCTAGATAACAAATTTCCATGCTACTGTTGGAAAAAGACGACTTAATATTCAGCAGACCCCAATTCAGTAACTGCTGAAGTCAGTGGGACTCCCCGTACGCCTAAAGTAAAGCTAATGCTCAGTACACAGTTGAACTGAGACCACATAAAGTATGACAATGCCATTTTCATTTAAAAATGAAAACCACGCCTTTACCGATGTCAGGACAGTACAGAATTCCCAAACCAGCACTGGCATATTAAACCCCGAATCAAGCAAACAACAGAAAAGTGAACTGAAAGGACAGGAAGAAGTTTTTCTGGCTAAGGTACAGGTCAGCAACACACTAAAGCAGGGCTGTGTTCCCGCTATGCCAATGACTGTGTGTGCTATTTCAAGAACAAATTATTTTAATGGTTTGTGCCGATTCCTCTCCGTAAAGCAGAAATAGTACGCGCTGTTCTCTGCTAACTGTCTCTGAGGGTCTAAGTCCTACAAAGACCATGTTTATTTGTTTATCAGGTTCCCAGAAAAACAGAAATGTGAATCTTTGTATATGGTCACAGGATTTAGCCGTATGACTTCTTTGGTACCCTGTTTCTCACTTATTTCTTTAGGCCACAAGTTCCTCAGGGCAAGGACTCTCTTTTACTATGTGCAAGAAGAAGGGTAAGTACAGCACGATCCCACTCTTCACAGTGGCTTTTACCAGCGAACACCTTTTCTGACAAACTCTTTCTTGAACTCAGGACACCAGTGATCCATTTTTCTGATGGTGCTCAAACTCCATTTAACTGTTGACTCCATGTAACAATGATAAAGTAGAGCACAATGTTATATTCTCTGCATAAAATTTAAGAATTGCCAAGTGTTACAGATGTTATAAGCAAGGATAAATAAAGATTTGACTCATTTTAACAGTATCGGGACTTTAAAAGTGAAGTTAATCAAAAAGTTATTGGTAAGGAAAGAGTACCTGCAAACTTAATGGTAGTTCATGGATTCTTGTGGCCAACGTACGAATCTCTCGGTCCGACAAAATGCCCGACTGGTCCGTATCAACCTCATCGAAGATCTGAGAAACATTCAGTGGCTGGACTGCACTCATAAGATAATAGAAATATGAGAAAGCAAACTGCATATCTTCTGAGTGCCGCACTTTGTGAAATGATGTCTTGTCAAACTCCTCAGGAAACCTATATAAGAATGTAAACTAATTTAGTACACTAGTTTCCTACCGTAAAACATTCCTTACCTAAAAACAAATTCTCATCTAGAATTTTAAAAGGTCCTCAAAAGTCTCCTTATTTTAGCATAACTTTCACGTTTTAATGAATTCCCTTTTTCCCCTTCCAAAATATATTTTTCATGAGTAGCCATCAACACACTGGAAATAGCTATAGCAAAGCATCAATAAAAGGCAGAATTACCTACAGTTTTACATTATTCCAAACAAAGACATACTTACATATCCTGTAGCTCTTGCATAACAGTGCGGTCAATCATGTGAGGCATATGAGCAGGGACTTTCCGAGATGTAAATCCAAATTTGCTGTTTAAAAGCTTATTTACGTATCGAAGGGAATCAGCAAATGTATCTTTCAGCTGCCTTCCAAAATGTTTACCATCAGTAAAGTACGACATTTCTTTGAGTAATGACTCTTCCTCCTTAACAGCAGGACAGGCATATATTACGGTTACATTATCGAAAAAGATCGAAAAATTAAACATGCAGGAAAAATGACATTGCAGACAGGTGCCAACTCTTTCAAATATTTGAAAATGGGAAGAGAAATTTTGAATATTTTTCTTCATATTCCTTAGTTCCCTCCTTTTTAATGAAAAGACAAAAGGTAACCTTTTCCTCAAAATTTTCATGCTTTAACAAAAAGTAAACTCCTTAATATTTGTGCTCTGACACCTCCTCCCCCACTAAAGTCACTGTTTGCTAGCAGATTTATGTGTAATATTGCCTTTTTTTTCTGATTATTCATCCACATTTGACAAACTGAAATCCTACAGATATGAAGATTCCTCATGCAAAATCCAATCTCAGATGAGCAGAAAGAGGCAGTCTTCCAAAAAGCCCCTTTGCTATTTGGAGCAGTGCAAAGCAGTTGCTACCAACGGAAGCACAGTATCTTCTAGAGGTTTTCAAAACTCTGCCAAAGTGCTTTGGCTGGAAGCAGAGGAAGCTTCCTACACGTTTTCTTGACACGGTCTGGATATTCGGTTTTGTTGGCAGACTTTCAATTTACCTTTCAGAACCCAAGTACTTACCATCATACATATTTTTATACATTTTTTAATGAACTGGATCTGTATTTGCATAAATACAATTAAAACGTAAGCTTTCTATCGTAGTGCTGTCTTAACAATGGCACTGTGCCAACATACAATGAATAAAAAGTGAATCTGACTGAAAAAAAGCAGTAAAAATGAAATAGAAATGGCCCTTCAGCTTTTGCCACCTAGGTAAGAGAGGCTCAGATCATAAACAAATTAGATTTTACATGAAAAGTCAAGAGGAGCTTTCAAAATAAAAAAATCTCAGTATTTGCCTCAAAGGCAAGACACATTCCAAACTGCTACATCATATTAACAATATTACACTAAATGCAGAAAGATGCAGCTAGTCCAATAAGCGATGACGCTAAGATACTCACATCAAGAAGGTCTTGGAAATACTTCTTTTTCTCCCATGGCAAAAACCCTTGGTAACTTCCAGCATAAGACTGTAATTTTCTTCCCACTAGCCCCTCCCTTACATTTGCATGCACCTGCACACGTCCCTTTCCTCCTTGCATTCCCTGCGCATCTTCTCCAGGATTTAAATTCCCAGTATGTTTCGATTTCTGGGTTTCCCTTAATATGAGTGCATTCAGTACTTTTTCTCGAGTTTCATTTTTATTTCCCATGCTCTGGGCTGGAAGTGTGGATTTAGGCTTTACTTTATAAATAGGTTTATTTGTGTTCATTGTCACAACAGTCCCCGTTGTTCCTGCAAGCCTTGAAGGAACTTCTTCATTTGCTTTTATTATTTTGCCATCATTTACATCTTTATAAGGCTTCTGCCAGCTGGTACGGTTCTTCTGATCTTCTGAATGATTATGCATGCCCTTCTTTTCCAGGCCTATAATACCCTTTACTGTAGTTAAGAACTTGAAAGGTCTCAGGAGAGCAGCTTTGGATAGGTTAAATCCTTTCTGAGTGATATCCCCATTTAGTAGTTTGAATTCCAGGTTCTGCAGTTTTAGCTGAACATCTTCAGGAAGGAGAGACACGTTTACTGATGGTATTATCACCTCTTCATGCAGACTCTCTTTTGTGCCATTTCGACGTCTCTTGACTCTTGGAAAGCGTTTTTCTTCAGGAATATCCTCAAATATCATTTCAGCTTCTGGTATTGAAGTTATAGTTTTAAAATCAGAGTTGGATTTTTGAACGGAAGTTGTGTTCAGTTTTGGTTCCTCTCTAGTATCAGCTTCAACAGCTACCTGCATTTTAAACTCTTCATCATTTTTATTTAGAAACGTAAGGTTAAAATAGATCACAGTTGCATTCATGCCACTGTGCATTATGAGGTGGATAGTCTTCCATTTATTAGCAATTGAAGCATGTCGAATAATTGGACTATCACTATATGAACCCTCAATTCCTTTCTTGGCTATTTCGCTGAAGCTGAAGTAGGGCAGACATTCACCTTTGGGAATAACATAGTAGGTCTGATTAAGCTGAAGCGTCACCTTGTACATCTCTTCAAAGTGATCTGGGAAAAAAACCAAGAAACAAAACAAATTTCTGTCAATTTTCAGTGTGACACTTACCTTTCAGTCTTTTTAAACTGTAATATGCCCAGCTAGATTCACTATATTTGCACGGAGACAGCTTTGTGAAAGAACACGTACTGTTGCTTCCAGTTTCTTGCTCACCTATCTTTAATAATGAACGACTAGCACATACTCAGATGTATGAACCTGCCAGACTTTCCAGTGGTAATTCTAAAAGCCAGTATAATTTATCACTCTTTCAGTTTCTACCTGAAGAGCCTAAGTGGCTCATTATCACATGTCACTTAAAATCATGTATCACTCATAAGTAACATGTCCATACTACATTTTTGTCACATTTTAGTAGATTAACATTACAAGGTTGGATTTCACTGCTACACTGCATCTTGATTTCAGACTTTCAAAATCAGATACGCTGAACTGAACTTCTTCCTCCCACAGCAGAGGACAGATTATCTGTCAGCTCTCACATGAACAAAACCTCACTGCCAGCAACAGAATTGTCAGTAACACATTTGTCTGAGCTGAGATGCAGGGGAGCCTCTACTCTTCCAAACAGGCCAAATTCTTCCATTTCTCTTCCCCTGCCTGCACCACACAGTACTCTCAATCACTTCATTCGCTCATTCTAGTCTTTCATATCAACATAAACTTCAACTTCACAGGTAACTGAAAGTTTGGTAAGAGCTCAGGGCCAGGCTTGAACTCACACTGTCAGCATCGCATTGTTCTTTAATTTCTTAACCACTATGAGCACCATCCAGTCAGCCATCCTGATCCAGGCAAAGACTCTGTAGCTGACATGCAATTCCTCCATTTAAAACATAAGCCTCTTGGGGCAAGGAGTTTGATGCTTGCTGCTCTGTGAAGTATCAAGCACCCAACCCATGCTGGGTCAGTAACAGTTTTATTTAATAAAGCAGCATATAACATTGATTCAGGTTTGGATTAGTGAATACAAGTAACATCTGACTGACTTGTTCAGCTGTTAGTAGCTCTTTTCTACGACTGTACAGGGCACCTTAGCCCAATCCGAGAGTAACGATGAACCAAGAAGGTCAGGCAATTCAAGCGAACACCCACAGAAAGTTTAATCAGCAGTGTATTCTACATACCCTGGCCACAGTCACCAGCATCAAATCCACAGGAGAGGACATTGCAGGCCTGATCACAGAATTTGTCTGCTAGCCAGGAATTAGCACAGCCTTGGTTACAGTATGAAACACCACTTATTCCTGCACCAAACTGCCATGGTGGTCCATTCCCGATACCGCCAACTGCACCTCCACCAGCAACATAGCGACTACCCCCACTGTTACCTACAGGGAGAGAAGAGATAAACAAAAAACCCTAGTCATTTGAAATCCTTATTTCAGGAGGAAAGGCACATTTTAAGCCACAGTGTTAGAGCTAGACAGAAGAGTTGACAATCTTATTTATCACCGGTGAAATTAAAATGGGGCAAATGCTAACTAGACCTCTGTAAGTCAGTGTAAAAACCATAGTGTGCTTAATCTCACTGTAGACATTTAGGAACCAACTTAAAATTTCAACAAAAACTCCAACATATTTTGTCTTAACTTCAAAAAGGCAGACAGAAAACTGATTTACTACTTCTTGTGCTTGCAGTCTTGATTTTACAGCCCCCTAGAGCTGCATCACTTCATCAATCCAGAAGTACCACTTTGTTTTCACACCCTGCAATCCTGTAAATTTGATCTAGGAACTAATGGTACAGCTTCACAGTCCTGTTATTATCTGGATTCTGAGTCCAAATAATATATAATATTTTTAAAATATATATTATACAATAATACACAAAAATAATTATTTGAATTTCAAAATCCTTCCTTTCAGCTAGCCAAATTTGGTATCCAAAGGAAGATTTTCTTATGCCCTACTATTTGCTGTCATTTTCCATAGAAATTTGTAGTTTGCAGGAAACAAGATTTATCTGTAAGTCAACTTTTTTTTAATTATTATTAAAGGAGGCAAATTTTGTAGTTACAGGAGAATGACAAATTACAGAATTATTCTTATAAGAAAAAACACAGTTAGCTTTTTCTAAATTTAACATTGCTGTCTTACCAATGCAATCACCTCCATCCCAATCACATGCTGAGTTATTACAGGCTTTATCACAGTAACCATCTTTAATCCACGAGCCAGGACATCCCTCAGCACAGTTTGGCACAGGCCAAGTCAAGTACACCTAGAACAACATTACAGTCTGAGACACGGACTGGCAAATAGAAGTCAGCCGAGTTTGTTTCTTGCAATACAGACTTAAAATAATGCTGCCTTGTGTACAGCCCTTAAGTATTCAGAGAGCTTTACAAACAGTGTTTAAACCCTACCACCTGTGAAGTAAATGTTATCCTTTTCAGACAGAAGGAAGAACTGAAAAATTCCCAAGGCCATGCAGCAAGGCAGCAATGGCCAGAAATAGAAAGCAGGACATCCCAAATCTACTTCTGCAAACCACATTCCAATGAAAATTAGTATTTTGTCTTTTATCAGATAAGAAGGGGGAACTTAAACTCTGAAATAACTCCGCAGGTCACTTGTTCTCCTGACTCAAAATGTTTCTTCATTACTAACGAGTCATGAGATAAGCAGCACATGTTGAACATAATCCCTGAAGCATCTGATCCTCTATGACTTAAATAATTCTAAGAATGGCCAAGATGAAAAAAAGTGTGTGGGTGTGTGTACTTTCAACTGGGGAGGCATTAAAAACCACACCTTTTCCTTCAGGCCTTCTTGTTTCAAGATTTCAGCAGCACATTTGCTACTGAAACACTTATTGATGAAGTTATCGCAAACAACATTGCACCTAAGCCGACTTTATCATCATAACCAAGAATAACTGAAGAACAGTAGAAATGCACTAACAATATGATTTTGCAATTATATGCCTACATCCTTAAAGATTTAAAGCAACCAAAAGCCTCCTAACAACCTCAAGTACTGAAACAGTAATTTTAGGGTAGCTTATACTCATTTTTTACAACCTTTCTCTGTGTGTGCGTGTGTGTGTGTTCAAGTGTGCACACCTGCCTGCACGAAGTGTTTAATTCAGTGGTCTCTGGTGTCTTGTGTACTTACTGCTTTAATATAAATAATACACATAAATCTAATTTTTTTCCTCCACGTCACTCTCATAGATCAAGTTCATGGATGAAAACCAGTCTTTATGCATGACTATTGCTAATGTTTCCTCATCCTGCTTTCCTTGCTTAACCCCAGTTGTTGATAATAGCTCTGCTGAAAGACTAAATTAGTTCATGTTCATGAACACACAACAATATATCTTTTAGTAAATAATTATATATATATGATTATATATAGATTGGGCAAAGATATTGTAGAATATCTTTGTTCTGTCTGGAACAGACATAATCAATGGTAAATTTTAGTATTCGACCAGTCTGAATACCATCTGACCTCAAGTGTTCCCATGGAAGAAATGATTGTTTTGTTTTGAGCATTTCCCACAAAAGATTTTACAAGGGAGGGAAGACTGACAGCTGCCAAACACCACATCAGTCTTACCAGTGCTCCGACAGAAAGTGGGAGAAAGTGAACTACACTGATAAACTAAAGCATGAAGTCTAACAGAGGAACCATTGTACCACCAGAAACCTGTGAGTGAATATGAATAAAAGTAATTCTGCAACCCAAAAATCAACACAATGCATACACAAAAAAGACAGAGCCCTCGCCACCATGCACCTTTGCTAACAATTGTCTAGTTAAGAATAATGAACCTACAGAGGTAAAAGGGGGTGCAGGGAGCAAAGGGAAATCTTAGTCTTTGCTCTCCCTTTCAAAGTAGCATTTCTTTGATTTTTTTATTACGGTAGCATAGAAACATTTTACATCTACTTCTGGTAAAATATCCTTTCATAATGGCTTACCTTTTGACCTTTAGAGTGACTGTAAAAATCATCAGGCCAAACATCCTTCCCAAACATAACATCATCATTGAGATAAATAAACTTCTGAGAGAGGCCACTGATACGATGAATGTGACTTTCAATAGCTGGTGAACTGAAGGTAGGCAAGTGACTCACATTCTGAAATATTTCCTAAAACAAAAAAGCCCCAACAAACCAAAACAGTTTCAAAAAGCAAAAATAAATAAACAAAACCATAAAAGGTCAGGCATATCGTATATATTTGATACTTATCTACTTAAAAAAAAGTTTTATCAAGCACAAGGAGAGATATGAAAGACAAAAAAAAGTGAAAAATATTTTAGCAAAAAAAAAAAAAAAAGAGAAACTTCAGTTTCTCATTTTCTCCACACAAAACCATTTTCAAGTCTGCTGCTCAACTAAGAAACTGCACCTGGTTCACTGCAAAGACAGAAACTTCCCTTTCACTGGCACTGGCTCAGGCCCAGTATACACATATTTATACTTCTCATGCAATACAGGCTGCACAAAGTTTCAAGCAAGTTGAAGCTGTTCCAGCGTTCAGAAAGTCAGGATTCTTCCATCTCTTTCAAGTAACTTCAAAAGCAGACAGCAACAGAAGATGAATTAGTATCTTGTTACCACTTATGCTGCTCAGGGCTCCTATGGCATGTTCAGATACCAAAATTACTCCCAGATTCGTAATAAAAAGCTACTAGATATTTTTGTTCCACTTGTTCAGGAAGCTTGAAGGATTCCCTTTCTCTTTTTAAATAAACTCTTCAGAATGCATAGCTACTGTTTTTGCAGCCATCTTCTTAGTTCCACTAATTGTAATCCATCCTGTCTCAACACAAGCTTATTAGGTTATTCCTGGTCCCGAGACTGTTTATGGATTCAGATTACATTTTCTTCTCCTCAGGTATTTTATAAATAGACTTTATAAGGAAATTAGACATAGGTGTATGTTAGCTGAAGCCTCAGCATTTGGAAAAGTGGACGAAGTGAAATCTTGATATATATTCAGCTACCTGTTTAGCCAAAATACAAATACATGCTGAGGTTTAATAAAACCATGGATGAGACAGAGAAGAGGTGGTCACTTCTACCTTCCAAGTAAATGCAGCCTTTAGGTGAAAGGGGATAACTGCATTTCAACACAAACACAGAATCTTTACTAGTGGCACTTTCATGCTGGTATTTTTGTTTATTCTGGGTTTTTGATGGTTTTTTTTTTTGTTTTTGTTTGGCTTTTGTCTGTTTGGGTTTTACCTGATGTGTCACTATGGTTATCCGAGGATTATCCAAGTTAAGCCAGGAAGGAATCTGCCCATTGGTGACGATGAAAATATGTCGTACCCAAGGGGCATGCCTCTCTATTGATCGTAATGAGTATCTCAGCTCCTCATTATCTTCAAAACGGCTGGCAGAAATATCTTCATCCTGCTTAGACTACAAAAAGAAAAAATTCTTTCTTAGATTTTAAACAGAACATTCAGGTTCTGATCTGGCTAGGTAACAACAGTGTGCTTTAGCATACGGGTGCATAAGCATTTGAGAACCTAGACGTTCAAAAATAAACTGTACATTCATCAAGTACCATAATTCTTCTAAAGGATCATACTCTTCTGAATTATCAAGGTAAACAATACAATCTTCTGACATCAATGGCTGACCACCTGGTATCGTTAGGATGTCTGCTGACCACACTACAAGTTAACAATGCCTTGTGTGATCCCGGCCCTTGAAGAAAGAACGCCAGAAAAAACAAACCCTCCTATTTTCCTGGACTATTAGTCTCAACTATTTCCTGATTGTGATTGAAAGCTGAGTTGCATTTCAAATCAATAACATCACCATTCAGAGAAGCTAGTTTTAAGAGGCTGGGGCCTTCCACGTACATTGCATCATAAGCCATATATAAATGCCACCTAATATAGATGTGGAAGTGTCATGATGTAGTAGCAGCTCTTCAATTATCCCCTGCTCTTTTATTTTAAAGAATTTAAGCAGGAGAAAATTAACAAAACTGAACCTAATATTCACTATCAAATAGCTAAATGTTTCCATATGTTTTTGTTAAAAAGACAAGGTTTTAATTAGAAACTCATCAGGCAAGTAACAAAATCAGGTTACATGACACTGCAACATATGCTTCTTTTCCCATTTATGAGAACTTCTAAAAACAATTAAGACTGCCCAAAAGGAACATTTCTAAAAGAAGTATGCCCAACTGAAACGGGAAAGTCAAGAAAAATTTGAATGTTTATCAAATACTGCAGATTCTACACAATGTAAATAACTCCTTTTCTAGTATGTACAGTAACGCAGTTTAGACATTCTCAAAAACGCAACAGCTGAAAACATTTCAGCAACACCAGCATCCACTGAGTAGGTATACATTTACAAAATAGTTAATAATTTCAACATGGGGAAGTATAAAGTTTGAGTCCAGGGTTTGTATTAACAAGGAAAGTCCTCCAAAAGCCAGGTTCACAGGACACAGACAGACTGCAAGCTTCACTGGAGAGGGCACATTTACTCTACCCATGCCACCTGACATTTACTGTAAAATTAAACCCTAGCAGGAAAGGAAACCCAGTATTTTAGATGATCTTATCTTGAAACAGACAGCTTGTTATTTTATTACCTTTTGCTAAACCAAACATCTTTGCTTGTATCAAAAGCATTCAAAGTAAACCTCCTTTCCTCACAGACTTCTGTATTTCAGGTCTTCAAAATTTTTGGAAGAGGAGTAATTAGCATTTGCTTAGCATACATGATGCTGCAAAGCAAAAAATGCCTAAGAAACATATCGGAAAGGATATAATCATGTTTCTTAATAAAGCCCTCTCTCCCCTCCTCCCCACCCCTCCCCCGAAGCCTACTTATCCGCCAGTCAGTATCAGTTAAGCCTTTCAGGACTTGACTGCACACAACTTTATCTGAACATGTGCAGAGGGTGAAATTTTTCACTTAGTGGAGAACACGAAAATTTCAATTAAATGTTGCTCTGTCTGATCCTTCTTCCTCCTCGATTTCAGAATTTGACAGCGTTCTTGTGATGTTTTCTTACAACACAATAAATACTGGATTCTTAACACTTCCAGGCTTCTGGAAGAAATGTCACGTTTCTTGTCATTGACTAGTTAGCCTCCACTTGCAGTTTTTAAATACTACAACCTTTACATGCTGTAACAAAATTTACCTACCTGAGTGACAGAGCTGAGGTCCCACAGTAAATAAGCAGGATTAAGCGTCAGTTCTTTTCCATCTATAGTCATGTTCTTCTTTGTTTGCTTGCTCAGTTCTTGGAAACCCTTAGGGTTATTCAGTTGCAAGAGAGCCACACTGGCTTCCGAATAGAGCTGCAACTATACAAGCAGATAAAATAATTTCTGGCATTTCTTTCCAAAGAAAATTTCTCTTTACACAATGATCCAGCAACAGTAAAGCTGTCCATGTTAATATTAATATTTCTGAAGTGAATAGTATGTCCCAATCCACTCCCTCCCACCCCCAATAACGAAATTCGTATTTTCCTACAACTTTATTATACTACTGAAAGAATATTTTTTTCCATCTTAAGCAATGCTTTTCTCAGAATTAAGGCCACCAATTCATCATTGCTGTCAGAAGCGTGAAATTTTCAGAATGGTTTACAGATCAACCTACAGCTCAGAAATCTGAGATACAAAGGGCTCCAGAACTAATCCACGTGGGTCTCCAAGTCCTTAACGATGGTTGCCAATATGCTGTTAAGGTCATTTCTTAGTTGGGGACTGTTTGATCTGTTTGCTGTTTTTATCTCTTGCCACTACTAAGTCTGTATATCAGATTTCATAATGCACAGGATAAGAAGGGGCTTGCACTACATGCCCTCTCTAACAGCTAGTATAGTTTACAAATTGCAGGGCACCAAAACGTTTCACTAGAAATACAGCATAACCCAATAAAACCCTGTGTTTATCATATGAAGTAGCATGAGCTGACTAACAAGCTAAAAGCAGAACTGCACTTTGATTCTCCAAGAGCATGCATTCAACAGTCAGACCAAGAATAAATGCAGTTAATCATTAACATTATTAGATGCTATGCTTTTGTTCCTTCATGCAACATAAGGCAAATAAGCATGTCTACCAGATTTTCAGTTGCATAAGATCTGTAAAAGCAATTCATAAGTTAACAAAATTTGAATACTGTCATGTTCGAAAACAACAAAACCATCACAGTTTATTTTGTAATACCCTAAAGTGATTTTTTCTTTATTTTTTTACTAAATCTGGCCTTTTCTGCTCATTTTAAAACAACACTCGTCCCAGAGTTAGCACGCCTTCCCTTCGCAAGAGCAGCTGTCCTGCTTGTGACATTTTAAAGCTGTTGATGCTTTGACTCATATGCTATTTGAGATCCTTCAATCTGACTTATGAGGCCTGCCATTAGAAAAATCTGATAAATCTCAGACCTTCCAGGGAATCATCTGAACCTACGGGTGGAAAGGATGGCTTCAGTAGCTAAATGGCTGAGGTATAGTTACGGACTGCAGCTAGCAACCTCCAAAAATATCGATATCGAAATGCTACAGATTGCAAAGCTGCCATCAGCGGGTATGTGCTTTATTTAGGAATACAACAGTGTCACATAGTCCCTTAGAATCTGTCATTTAAAACATATGTATAACAAACCAAAAATACTACCGTTCTAGAGCTTTGAAAGCATTTAAGAACATTTCATTTCTCTTTGTTTCTACCAAAGTCAATAAAATAGGTACCTGTACTACAGACTCCTAACTACATTTATTAAAACGCTTCCCCTTCCCCAGCAACCCCACTAACAGAGCATATATGCTCTAGGTTTTTAAATATGTAACAGTCCGAGCACAAACACGAAGTAGGGGAAAAACGTGCTCCACTGCTCAGCATCGGAGTTAAGATAATCCCTACACTGCATAAATTATTTTTATTACATCAGGTTTTTTTTTTTCCCACCAATACCTTTTTAAAGAAAAAAGTCTTTTCATAAGCAGTGCTATCAATAAAGTTAGATTTCAATTAAGTTGTCTGGTGACTTAACTAAGTAGATTCTAACAAAATGCAAGCTCTGCTCAGAACATTTTGTTGCAGGTGTATTCAAAATGGGATTCTCCCCTGGCAGATTTTACGATGTCTCACAGCTGTTATCCTCCTCTCAGTGGCATTACATGTAACTGCCTATTTCCTTGAAATATTACCTTCTAGCGATCATCTTCATACTGACAAAACAGACTAGCATATCCAAAGGTATTTTGAAAACAGAACAGAAAAACAAGCAGATAGATGCACACAGTCAGCATGATTAGGCGAGTCTCTGCTTCTAACACAAGGAGGCTGAAAAGACACCATGCAGGCACACGCACAGACCACCACTTGTGCACACTTATATCATTCACTTGAAAACAAGACAGGAAAACTGCATCCTCTTCGCCAGGTAACTGTAAATGCAGGTTCTCCTCTGGAGCCAGTATGTTTGGCAATGTTTAGTCTTACTAGATGAGGAGACAGGCCAGATGGGCTAAGCCAGCCTATGCAGAAGTAAACACGTTCATTTCCATATTCTCAAGGTAAGAGGCCTCAAGATCAGATTTTTCTTCTCAGGTGGAACTCTTAACCAGTCTTTAAATTATTACACTTTATCTTCTTAATGGCCAAACCTGACTGTTAAGGAAAGGAGATGCTCCTTTTTTCACACTCCAGTATGGATATTAGGAAAACTCATGTGCCACACAGCAAGGGAAAGGGGAGGCATGTGTTGTGTTAAAGAGTTAAAAAAAGCTTTACAAACATGAAATATTGTTGTCTTTACAGATTTATCAAGTTCCCTTTATAAGGCAGTTAGTAGGAGGGTCATCTCAGAGCCAAAACCAATGCAATGCCTTAGTTCGGTGTGTTTTGTTTTGTTTTTTTCCCTGCAAAGCTTACTTACTACATCCATGTGAACATACAACACCAAATCCTGAACCCACTTGTCTGCTCCATCAACACTGACAAGAGCAGCAGTAAGAACCCCAGACCCACCATCCTCAAGGCAGTGAAAACAGCAAACACCCAGCACCACTGTGCTTATAGGTTCCTATGTGGATTTTCTTCCATTATTAAGACAAAGTCATTAAGACACATCACAGCCCCTAGTTTCCAACATAACTTGTCCATATACGTGTATGTGTGTACACATGCAGATTAAAGAGGAAACAACATTTTGCAAAGGAAGGAGCAAAGCTCTCATTTTTCTCTGAAGCAATCAGTATACTAAATCTTGAAGGAAACGCTCACTACTGTATACTATTTCAGTGAAACTGTTAGCATGATTGCCTCAAAAAACAAAATTAAACAAATCAAATCCCCTTGCCGTTTCAATCCTTCCCTTGTCAGTCTACGTCACTACCTAGTTTTTTAAGTCACAAGCATCTCTTTTAGGCTGAACAATAATAGTTTTCTTTAGAAATGTAGGTGGGGAAAGGAAAAGTGAAAATTTTATTTCAGTAGTTGTTCTTCACGTATAGCTACAATGTAACATCTTTACACCCTTTAAAGAAATACAGCTTAGGGCAGACAGCTGCACAACCAGAGCAACACCTCCATCTAGTGGCTCACTAACACACCGTTAAAAAAGCGTGGAAAACAAAAAGCAGCCAGATATAATTTTCAACCACACCCATCATAATACATAAAACGTAGAACAACAAATGTCATCAGCAGACACACTGCTGCTTACCCTCCATCTGGAAATAAACTTCCAGATCATTACATTACAGTGCAGGCCATAGGTAGAAAATTTCAGTAAATCGTAGCATACATACCTCACCTTGAAAACCCATTCATTATGTATAAAATCTTCACAATTGAACCCCTTCTAGTTGGGCTCAGCTTCTTTTCTCAGAGGTTTTTAGAACTATAAACACCTGGCCCAGATGTCCGAGCAATTTTTGTCTGTCTTTGGATTCAGAAGTGATTTCAATCAAACAAACTAAAGCAATCCAATTAAAGCAGCATTACCAACATTCAACACAAATGCACTAACAGCTACACTCCTCCCTTTCTCACCTTTCTTCCATTCTAATAGCAGCATTGTTGAATTTTTTTATTATTTCTTTACTTCCAGCACTGCACTGAGAAACTGCCACTCAGAGCATGCAGAAACCCATTAAGCATCAGGAGGCGGCTATGAGACACAAGTCTAGCCTAAATTCAGGTAGAACTTTCTTCCACTCCTCCGGGCACCTCACACCACTTCACAGACTTTAGATTCCAGAAGTGATAACAGCAGGGGAATTGCTGCAAATTTCAGTGGAAACTGTAAACAACCAACCTTTCTGCTACTTAACTGTAGCATTAACCTAGCAGCTCTCTCCTTGGTAAGGAGAAAACCACACTTGGTAATGTTTACCATAACTGCCTACCTACAACTTCCATTGAATGAAGAACTGATTCTGAGCTAGGATCTTAGTAAAAGCTTCTACAGAAACAACTCACCAGTACTTCATATGTAAAAATTTTGCTCCTTTCAAATAAAACACTTCTTACATTTATATACATATATTCCATTGTAGGCACAACATAAATAAATTGCTGCTATCAAGAGTAGAGAACTGGCTGCGGAAGAATCTGCTGCTATGATCGCACAGGGTACAATAATCCCGATTTAATTGTTCTAAAGCATCCACCACCAGGAAAAGAAACACAGACAGCAACGATGACTGAATGGAGAAACTGCAGAATCCTGTGGATTCCTGAGAAAAACTGTGTTTATATAGAGAAGTGCCTAACTAAATTGCAGAAGAGAAGCTCTTAGGAACAGATAATGAACTGATCACAATGGCAATGTTTACATAAAGATAAGAACACACCAAGGAAAAGAAAAGCAGCACAAAGATATGTGATCGACTGGATGACACGTAACCGATGACAAAGATAAAAACACAATCAAGACAGAGTAAGGAAAAACCATGTACAAAAGCTAATAGGCACGGGATGTCGCTGCCATAAAAACAGACAAGGAGATGGGAGACATATCTAAGACCCCCCAGAGATGCAGCCTTTATGTCCATCGGGACAGAAATGCAAAACCACAGAGATACCATAGCATTTTTAGGATTTGCTAAAGAGTTAAGCTAGTGACCAGTTTGGATACAGACACAGATTAACCAGCTGCTTGGACATGAGAAGCAGAACTGAAACACAGAAAGAATCCTTCCATCATGTTTTTTGTTGGACTAATACTGCTAGGACATCCTACTGGAACGGAAAAAAGCTGATAGGAGGGATCGTCTGATGAAATGGAAAAAAGATTACTGCAATCAAAAAATTAAGTTCCAGGCAAAATTGCTCCACGAGTCTTAAAGCCACAAGATAATAAAATCCAGCAGATGGCTCAAAAGCAATTAGGAGAAATCTGAGTATTTCGTTCTTCCAAGGTGTCCATGAAAGATGGAAGGTCTCTATTACAGACAAAGGGTAGTCTAAGTATAAGGTCTGTGGCTAGACAGATTTACAGCAGAAATCCTGGAGAGAATCTCAGAGCTGGAAGCAAAAATCCACACAGGAGTACTAAGGAGAAAAAGCATCAACACTGACTTCAACAATATTTAGATAACTCTATTGGAGAAATAACTGCAACTAATGAAGTTAGAAAATGCCTGGGGAGAGCTGGAGAGCAAGGAAAAAAAAAAAGAAAAAGGAAAAAACTCCCCACAGCAGCAAAAACATTAGTAAAAGCCATGATACCAGACATCGGAGGGAAGAAGAGAAGGTTGTAGAACATCAACAGCAGGAGAGGCATAAGTTACTCTGACAAAGGAACACCAAGTGTTAATGATACCAGGTACCAGAAATCAACAAAAAAAAAGAAAAAAGGTAGGGTACTATGGATAAAAACTGACTTAAGTCACAATCATTTTGGAAAAAGAGCATAAAGCAACATCTGCTAAGGGACAGAGAATAAAATTCCAAATACTGTTTGAGGAGAAAACATTCCTCAGAACTATGTTACTATGAGAGCTTGTGTCTATGATGTTCGACCAGAGAACAAACATTGCCTGGCATAGTGCTCCAATTTATTCCCAGAGGTGGAAGCAGACAGATTTCTTTTCCACCAAATAATCTTTGAACTGATAAATGCAGTATTATTTCAGATACCAATTTGGTAATTAATGAGAAGGCTACAGAAGAGTTGCTCCTAGAAAACAACCCTAGGTCAAGAAAACATAAGCTAATTGATTGTAAATGGAAACAGAAAAAAAAAAATTAAGGAACAACATCTTACTACATTTATTGAATGCTAAAGGGCACGTTTAACAAATAAAAAGAGCTGCTAACTGAAGTCAAAGGTATTCTGAGGTCTTCAGCTCCATTAAGTCAAATGTGTTAAAACTACTAGGAACCTGTAAAACTTCAGCTGTGGTGAGGAACCAGAAAAGGCTCAAACCCAAATGGATGAACCTTGCACTCAAAGAAAATTCTTCAGATGGCTCAAAGTCAGGAAGCATTTCACTAACAATGTTCCTCATGCAAACTTGAAACGAAAAACCTAGCACCTTAGACAGCAAGACTGAAATACCATCTCCTGCTGGATAACAACCTAATTTCTCTACAGTAAAGACCATTTCTTTAAAGCGATTTAAAAAATACCCACGGCATATAAAACAAGCAGAGACTGGCAGATTGATCACATGAATATCCGCTGCTATTTAACCAATGTACCACTAAGAAAGAGAAGGAAGGATGTCTTGCCCACGCCAGAGCAGATCTCACCCAAACTAGCAACAGATTCACTATAGCAAGAGACAATTTTTATGAACAGCACCAATACGCAGCAGTGGAAGGGTGCAAGAGAGGTTACAGAGAAATAGTGGCAGCACTGTTTGCAATGAGCATAATCTAACACACAGCAAGTCTCTGCTGGTCTACTGGCCTTGGGTTAGCTACATACCACTTATTTTTCACTAGGTAAAAAGTTCTGGTGATGCCTTGTTTAACATTGTACAAAATTCCAGTAAATCATCCTGAAGGCAGACAAATCCACCATGGAAGTGGCAGGGAAGGGCTGTCACAAAGATGAGAGGAATGGAGGGGCAATGCTGTGAGATGAGCACTGCCTGACTGACTTGGTAAAACAAAGGCTAGGAAAAGCCATAGCCACTCTGTATGTTTACATCGGTTGTGTGTTCAAAGGCATACTTCAGAAGGTTTCTACCATCAGTGAGATTCTAAGACAGCCTGTTTATGCAAGCCAAGACAAGAAAGAAGCAATTCAGCTTGCATTAAGTTGGAGTGTGACCAGCCTATGAAAGGGGTTACACAATATACTTTCTGCAATAGCAGAATACATGATTATGATATACTTTCTGCAATAGCAGAATACATGATACTCAGCCTGCCAAAAAAAAAACCAAGGAAGGGAAGTCGTGTTCATTCAAGCATGAAAAACAAGCCATAAAGTCAATAAGCAAATTCTACAGATGGGCATCAGACTAACAAAGACAGATTACCTATGGATTGACATCCCTTTATCCCTGTTAACGCCTTACCTTCTGCAAACTCCCTGGCCTCAGCTCCTTTCACACCACGAATCACATTTCTCTCCAATACATAAGCCAATGATTTTCAGTCTTTTTGAAACTTTCACCTATCTGTTAAACCTGGCTGTAACTGGAAAAGGTGTCCAAACAGCAGGGGAGAATAGAAGGCACAAAACGTTAATGGATGGCACAGTCACACAAGTTGTGATTTACCGTTGCCTTGCAGGTGGGTAAGTTGAAGGGCAACTTGCTCAAGACCATACAGAGTACTTGGCAGAGAGAAATGTAGCATTCAGCTGTGAAACAATCCAGTGTTGTGACTATTAAGACAATTCTTCTGAAAGAAGAGGGAAGAAAAAAGCTACGAAGCTACATACACAAATCCTGTCACATTAAACCAGCCAGTACTATAGTATACTTCAGTAAGACAACAGCCTGTAGCAAATGCCTAAGAGAAACTGATAAGGCTGGTACATTTTAACCAGTTGAAGGCTAGCACATCTAATGCCTAGTAACTTGCAGTCACAGAATGGACAATCGGTCTTTTGAAGGCAACTATTTGAGTCACCATCTACTGCTCTTCACAACTCCAGAAAACAGTCACACAGAGAAACAGATTACTAGCAGAAACATCCTAAGCCTCCTAGGTGGGTGAGATCCCGTATGAGAACCGCTGCAAAAAACCAAATACAACTACGTTACTCCTTCCTCCAGACTCTTACCAGTTTTACTTTAGATGCCAGGCTCTCTGGTAGTTTTGCTCGTAGCTGATTTGTTTCTTTGAATGTAGCTGGAAATCCACTAAGGAAGGCCAAGTCCTGCATTAATACAAGACCTGGAACTTCTTTGTCTGTAGTCTAAAAACAAGAAAACAGGGTACAAAGATGTTTTAAAACTTACAGTAATTCACATTTATCTGACAATCCTTCATCAGGGGACAGATTTAATAGTGTGTATTTTGTTAACCCAAATTTCAAAATTGAAATAGAGTCATTTAAAAAGCTTTCATTTCTTGTTACATGTCAGTTATGGAAAGAGAGTAGCATAGCAACACTTTCTAAAAATGTACAAGAAGTTTAACATGCACAAAAGCTAATGAACGGCTTTTAAAAGTACATACCAAGTAACCCCTCCATACTATCTGTTTGCTGTTGTCTTTTAACATTCCAGAATGAGCCGCTTCGACTAGAACAAACAAATGCATTGCAAATCAAAAACTGAAAGTCACTTCTTTTGTATATTCTAGTAACTAAGATAAACTTTGCAAATTAAAAAGATTTGGATCTTTACAGTGTGAAGAGTTGTCTTTGTAACTGGTAAATAATTCTTGCTGGTAAAATAAACACCAGTGGTTGGGCTAGTAGGCAGTAATGGTCAGGCACTACATATTGAACAAAATAAGAAGCCCATACCTGCTCTAAGCTCCTACTTACATATGCCGAACACATGGATAATTTTGTTTTAAGGTATGCAATCCTCTGAGCAAGGGCAGAACTTGTTGCACAATATTCAAACTAGACTTCACAGCAATTAAAAGAGGATTTCTAAAACTAATCTTCCTCAGTCTAAACCTCAGTATTCTGAGTTTATCAGTGCAACACAGAGATATTCAGATATCAAATCTGTTTTGCAATAGTCTTTTAAAGCTTAGAACTCTAATCATCTATAATCAGTTGCCTGGGAGGTAAGCAAACAGTATCATTAATGTCATCATTTAGAGGAACAGACTGAGGGCGAGAGACAGTAGGGAAAAAAACCCAAACTAATTCACAGGATTTTACTAAAAAGCTTCGTCTAGAAAAATGGCTGAAATCGGACAAATAGGTTCTTACCATCCTTAGGGCTATCAAAAACAATTACTGTCACGTTGGTAGAAGGATTTTTTGGTTTTGCTACAAAGAACATATTGTTAGCAGCTTGTAAAGCAGGATGAATGGAGAGCAGGTCTTTCAGTGTGACGTTGATAGGCAGCGCAGGATCCAGGACAAGCATTGGCACTTTGATGCAGTGCGTCAGCAAACACTCCAGTTGCTTCTCACTACAGCAAAACAACAGAAGTATATTTAACTCTGGCAGAAAATTTAAGACAAAAATCAACGTGAGGTGCAATGAGATACATTTTTGTAAAATCTGATTGACTATTTCCAGTACCTGCTGGGGCAGGGGGAAATTGCTAAGAGCACGCTTATTTTGTTGCAGAAGGTGAATATCTGACTGTTACTGTTTAGTTCATTCCCATATCTGTTTTTTCAAAAGTTTCCAAGATTTCAAAGTCTGCCCACAGAGCAGACCTCATAGAGATCTGTAAATGGCAGACTGACCAAGCCAAAATAAGAATAGGACAGGCCAGACCTTAGTGCTTCCTGGCAGCAGAGGCACAAGAGGCTTGGCCCCTCCATAGACAATAACCTGTAGTACCACGTATACAAACGGCAGGTGGAAAAAATGTTCATGCTTTTGAATTACAGAACTCCAGGTATGTACGCACTAAAAATCCACACTCGGAATAGGAACTATGCCTAACCAATGACAAGGATATGCTTTCCGAACTTCAGAAATTGTCCTGTTTTAAGCAGCTCATTCATAAATGTCACAGTAACATTACTTTTATTCAACATATGTGTTATCACACTGCTAATTTTTCCTGAAGTGACATAGAAAGAAAGCACGTACAGGCTATAGAAAATGAAACAACCTCTCCAACGAGCATCTGCTTTCAGCTAACAATGAGTAGGATATAATTTATTCCAATTTATGCCCCAAACCACAAAAACCTCACCTCTTCTTTGTTGGTTCTGTGCCATTCTTTCCCAGGATTTCCCTATTAAAAATTAAAACAACTACATTAAAAAACAATTAGTTGACAGCAAGGAGCTTAGTCTAATTTCAGATTGTTGAGTCAGGAACACACTGTGAAAGCACCCATAACCAAGTTACAAAATTGCCAAGGCCTTGCCATTGGCCTTGCCGAGGAGAGCACAGGCTGACACACGTGTCCCTCACTGCTCACCCTCACACAGTGTAGCTCAAAAATTCTTGGTTGTGCTGACAGCCGTGGCAGCAGGACTCTGCTAACAGGATTTTCATGGGTTATTATTAAATTACTTAACAAAACTGATGTTGATATGAAAAACACTGGTCAGACACAAGGGTGAAGTGACCCAAAACCAGGCTGACTTGATTGTTTTGCTTAACATACATATTCTGATAAGGTCTATCCTGCATTTGCCATGTGCACGCAGAAGCAAATGAGGATTGATATAAATGTAGTGCAGTGCTAATGCTAAATAATAATCATAATAACATCAGAAGAGCACCCTTCTACACACACCAACACAAAGAGAACCACCACCCATCAAGCTACTCTCTCCCACCGAAAAACAAAGCAACTGGGCCTTGACTAGCTCAATTCAGGTGTATCAACAAGAAAGTTACAACTTACGAAGCTTTACTATGCAACCAATACATACACTCATTAGTAGAGATTTACAGCAACCTTGCCTTTGTTTTCTGCAGTTCTTGTGATCTGCAGCTCTTTTTGTAACAGTGCTAACTGATTTCAAAGTACATGAAAAAAATTATCTACAAGGGAGAGAATGAGGTGCCGCTGTAGAAAAGGAATATGGCATGGGCATCAGTCTTACTCATAAGCTTGATATCAACTTTCCAAATCAGCATTATGGAATAAAACAGTATGTGTTTTTCCCTTTGTAAAATGGGAATCACAGCATGAGTGATGACAAAGCTAAACCACTAACATTTGCTACATGAACAGTTCGGAAAAGATCAGTATAAATTTGAAAGCTTTTCAGAGCAGAGAATATGTCTATGTTTAAGACGTTTAAACTTCATGGATTTAAAGTTCTACTAATACTTTCATTGCTTAGGTAACAAAATAAAGATCCAGAATTTCACTTTTGATCACATTGTCAGTGCTACCTAAATTGCAAGTCATAACATGCCAAAAACCAGATCCATCCACTTGCTTGTGGATTTCAGATTATTCCGAATTAAACTAGTACAACCCTTAAAATACAGACTTTTTCTTCCATTTAGCATATCTTCTGGCCAAATTGGATCACGTGACCACAGAGTTGCTTATTAAGAACTAAATTAATGGTTATGGGACACAATCCAAGGCATCTGCAGCAGCCTGTGTTTGAAGCTTCAGATCAGTAATTTTGCAAACAGTATAGCACAATCTATAACACCAAATGCAGCAATACATGTCTTTCCCTCCTTAGTTAGAAGGCTGACTCATACCTTTATAATATGACTAAATTATTTTCATCTTTCTCAGTTTCAGTGTTTGGGAGACTATAAATCTAACTGTAAAAAGGAGCCTCGAAGAAACATAATGCTTAAGATTTTATTAAGCCCATTACAAAAAGAAATACTGGAGGGAGGATGAGGAGGAAGAAAGGGATAAAGAGAAGTTACACATTTGAGATACAGTTTTATTATTTACAAACTGAGTTATAGAAATCTATGCAAAATTATGTACACAAAGCACAATTTTCTGCATGGCATTTTACAAATGCAAGACAACACCCTTAATGACTTTAAATTATTATGCTTTGTATCTTAAACAGTTTTCTGATTAGACAGTACTTTATAGCTAAATGTAGAACTGAAACGAGGTTTTGAGAATAATCAAATGAAGAAGTGAGAAAAGGCACTCTATTTTCATGTTGAGTAACACTGGAGAAAAACAAAGAGGTCTAAAACCGCATTAGATTGCTGCTGTTGGTTAAAGGGAAAAAAACCACACAAGATCATTACCTCATTATTTTCTGTTCTTCCTCCATCTGTTCTCTGACCTGTTGCAATTCTTTGATCAGTTCAACATCTGTGCCGTTCACCCAGGTGTATACCACATCAATCGGCATGGGTAAACAAAGCCTACATAATTCAAATGAAAGCTACATGAGCTGTTTAATATTACATTACAAGCATTTGTGTCATCCTACAATAGCAATTTCTGTCTAACAACAGAAATACTTGGTGGCCAGGCTGCAAAAAAGACAAAGCAAAAAGCTGCTCTTTAGTTATATGTATATCTCTTAATTATACGCAAGCCTTTGACAAAACAGCACAGTCATAAAACCAAAAAAGGACGTACAGTGGCTATAACAGTTCAGTAACTAAATGAAATCTGAACTTTATGCTCTAAATGTCACTGATATTAACCTATAACCCAACTCCTCTGAACCCATAAAATGTTTCTCAAATCAGTACCAACATCCAGCCACATCCTTAATACACCAACTACATTACACAGGACAGCACAAAGACTTACATCATATTTGCTGTTTAACTGCACAGAGCCAAAAAGATCTCAGCCAGACCAGGTCTCTATCCTAGGAGTGCCTCTTCGATATTAATAACAGGGCATTTCATAAACCAACGATCTAAGTAGGGTACATGAATTCAGATTCTAGACACAGCAGTCAAATTCATTCTCAACACAATTTAATACCCTGGAGCTGCTTCTGGACAGTTACAGATTTCCTAGCATACTTAAGGCAGAAGAAAAGAAAGGGGTTTGAGTACCTTTCTTCTACCCGATAATCTCCTCTATGAGGCTCATAGCTTTGTTTCAGTGGGTACTCCAGGCTGCTGCCCCAGGAAGATACCCCAACTGTTACTGTCAAAAGTTCCAGTGTCAAGCTATTCAATACCTTCCTAAACTGTAGATAGCCTAGCAAACACTGAGCCCTTGTCTAATGCTAAGATCCACGGGGTCACACAATGAGGTTTCCAAGGAAAGGTGTTCCCTTCTCCCCGCCGACTGCGTCCTTCAAAAAGCACACACAGAAAGACAGAGCTTATAGGTCAGTATCTCTTCCACCTTCCCATGCACAGTATGATATGCAGACAACCTCCACCCAGCTTCATTTTCCGCTGGCTGAGATTCAATAAGCAAAGCACAAGATTTGGTAAAATGGCTGCCAGTAACTGGTCACAGCGCAATGGACAGGAACACTTTGTACTCAATTCATCGCTGTTCCTAACTCAGCTATGACACTTAGATGATAATGGTGAGTCATCCCGAGACAGTCTAAACACCTAAGAAGCAGCGCTGCCTCTCCCAGCAGCACCACCCAGAAAGTCTCTCACCCACGACATGCAACACTGTGCAGGAGGCTACCCTCTCCGCTGGCAAAAGAAGTCAATTTACTGAATACAACTACCCTTCTAATCAGTTATTTCGCCTCTTTCTCAGGAGATGATACCAGCTGCTGGTTCATTAACATGTGCAACTCAAGGCATGTTTTAAACTAAAAAGTCCTCCACAGGAGTAGAAACTCAATGGCAGGAGTTCTTCCAGCTTTTCTACTTTTGTTGCGATGAGTTAAATTTTTAGATTGACAGTCTCTTGATTGCTACAGCTAGGACAAGAGTGTTTCAGATGGAAGCACCTGACTCAAGTCAGCAGATTTAAAAAATGCCAGGCAAAGTTCAGAGTTTATTTACCCAGGGTTCACTGAAGAACATAAAAAGCCAAAAAAGAGCTCCTCAGTTCCAACTCTTTCTAGGACATGAGGCAATTTTGACTTCTGTGAAACCTCTTCCCAATTTACCATTTGCTAAAAGCGTGTTTCTATGCAACAGCACATAAAGCTATGTAATTTGCTACACTTAACTTTTAGCATTGGAATTACGGCACATACAGCCAAACACTAATAAACTCCATAGAGGAAAGGCATTTTTGGTCAGATGCAGCTACGCCAACTCTGAACTAACCCTGGTATGGCAAGCACAATCTTCATTGCTAGTGGCAATAGAGACGATGCAAAAAACGCTATAAAAGCAAGCAAACTGTTTGCAGATCCACTAGTCTAACTACTTAAAAATTACCCACTCGCATAAATTGTCTTAATGAATATTTACAGAATACACTGTTTGAGAAAGTAGTGGTTATCAAACGTAGTAATAAAAAACAGGTATCATACACAAGTTAATTTGTTGCTCCCAAGTAGGATCAGTAACGCTGTTAAGATTTCACCTTTTTGTTCTTTGCCAAAGCTTTCTGGTTGGTCTCATGGCTTCTTAAAAATTACTGAGAGTTTATATTTTCAAAAGCATGTAGTGGAATTTCGCTTAAAAATTAAAAAGGAACAGGAAAGCCACTTCTGCATTATCCTTCTCAAATACTATTTTTAATATGCAGAGTCTTTTGCAAGTTGTTCAAGGTCAGAAGAGATCAAAAACTTTCTCCCTCAAATACTGTAGCTGTGTTTCTCCTTCATGTGGATTTATGCATTTGGTCTTCATCATAAATACCGGTTTGGCAAACAGATTAAGCCCAAGATGAGCTGCCTAAATGGCAATTACGTAACACCTTCCTACAGAAAATCATCCTTTTTTCTATTTGCTACTGATTTTAGTATCAGCAAACACGGGCTTTGGAAACTTCCTTGGAGACTCCCAGACAATTAACAAGGTTTGTATTGGATACTCCTTTACATTTTCCTCTCTCAAAAACATACCCGTTCTTTACTTGCAAACCTAAAAACATCAGTAGGATCCTTGCACCTGCCAAGAAGCATTTTCCATACCTGTGACGTTTGTTTACACATGAGAGCCACACTCACAGCCAACACTGCAGCTGGAAGACAAAGCCTCATTGTCTCACCATCCACAGCTGCTGAAGGAACACAGCAGCCTCTGGGTTTCTCTCAAGCTACCATACCATGATCTCCAACCTTGCTGAGCCTCTTTATGAACGAGTGTAAGTCTATTACACCCTTAAGCTCCCCACTGTAAACCTCCCAGCCCTCCTGGGTGTTACATCTCTAACCACCCACCAACTGCAACTGAAGTGTTCCACTGCTATTCCTGTTCCAGGAACTCTTGGATCCCTCATTTGTGCATCTTTTCCTCTCTCCAGCCTCACTCTGCTCAACAACCGATGGCTCACTTGCTGTACTATACTGAAATCAGTCCATACACTTTAAACGCTGAGGATTCTTCCTTCACATTTTGTTTCCATATGTATTTTGGAGTTTTAAATATGATTTGGCTATGTCCTGGAAAGGAAAAACTACACTTCAGTGTTTGCCAAAATGCAGAATTTGCTGGCGGAGAGTAATGAAATAGAGTTGTCATTCAAGACTCTCATACATGCAACTCCATTATTTAGTCTTCTCACCCTTTTTATTTTCATACCAAAACTAACTAAGTCTTCAAAAACAGGTTCTGATGACGTGGCTTGGTAAAAAGCCCTGGAATTTCTACTCCACTGTCTCAAGCTGCATAAGAACCTGGACAATATAAGTAGGAAGTTTAGCAGCTGATGTGACTACCTGGAAAGTGCAACAGCTGGGATGTTGAAGGACATGTGATACGAGGGAAAAGCAAACCAAAGCAATTGCTAAACTTCAAGGCAAAACAAGAAGTCTTCCTTAGTCTGGCAGACAGCAGCTTTCAACAGGTGTAACTAAAGAGGTTAGCAACATAACTGTTTTTATGTTACTCAGGAAGAAGAGCTTTTTGAGTTTATAATCACGAGGATCTTGCCGACATGCACCAATTTGACTACATTTTACACTGAGATTGTCTTTATAAAAGTTTATAACACAACTCTTTAACAAGAATGAAGATGTTTTCCTGAAAAGCTCATAGAAGACAACACTGCTTTAATTCAGTTGAAGATCCAATAATATTTCCTAACGGCCTTGCAGCTTTTACTTTCCACTAAGCAGTAGATCTGCTTAATTTCCAAACCAACAAGCTTCCTCTTCTCCAATTCTGAATATTTTTCTCTAACACTGAAATAAGAACTGATAAAAATCAATGGATAAGCTAGGATCAAAACTGGAAGTCCACAATCCTCAGTTTATGTAAAAACCATGTGAGAACCCTACATATTGCATTGATATCGGCCCTAAAAACTCCAGCAAACCATCACTGATATGGTGCAAACTGCAAGATAGGGTCCATTACTGCATTCGTGAAGTTTGATAATAAAAACAAACTGAACCCCTCCCAATTCAAGTTAATGGATGCCTAAGACTATGTGTCCACAAAGACTTTTTGTTGGTATGAATTTTTACAGGAAGTTGGTATCTGCACACAAATATAACAACAAACCTCCCTGTCATGCCTGACATTAGAGTATTAAAGGCATATGGAATAACCTGAGCATCCATCACGAAAACCTTAAGGTTTTGCTCAGGCAGTCAATAGTTCCTCGCCAAGCACTGAATGTTTTGCTCACGATTCACAGAGATCAACTCTAGCTAAGGTGTACTTTAAACAACCAAAATGAAGACAACTCACTGCAGAAATGGGAGCTGACTACACCCACATCACAACAGTTAAGATGTACGATTTTGTTTGGCACAAACTCGACCATTTTATTAAAGCACTGTACTTAATTATCACAAAGTCAGGCATTTGAGTACTGACTAGAACAAACTATCATGTTTTCACTTCAGTACTGCAGAAACATGTAAACATTAAGCTAATCATCCATATGAGCTGTATCACTCTGCTTCCATCTGCAACCCTTTGGAAAATAAGGGAGGGAGGTAAGAGATGAGACTATACAAGCATACAGGATTCACTGACACCATGCAATGTACTTTTACAGAGCTATCTTGCACCAGCTGAAATGTGACAAACTGATCTCATCATTTCTAATGTCCCATGATTCAACAAACCTCAAGAAGATTAAGCATCTCCGTTCAGGGTGGTTTTTGTTTTTTTTTTTTTTTTTTTCCAATCGAGTGTATCAACACTTAAGAGTCAGATGATATCTCCTTAGTAGCTTCTTCCAGCTACCAATTCACAGTCCACTGACTTCCTGAGCAACAGATCCCATGACTATCCAGACGCTAACGATGAAACCACAAAAAGTCAGGTAGCAGTTAACACAACTGAAACAAATCACCCATATGCCTTGGTTTCCAACTTGCTGTGAGTGGCTTCTCCCATGCACTCAGCTTAAAAAAGATTCTTACTAGCTTTGTGACTTCTCTACTAAATAATGTCCCTCATCAGATGTCACAGAAAATATAAGGTAAATGAAAAATAACTTTTAAAAACAGTGAAAGTTAGAATTTTAAGCGCATGGGAACAGTACTTATATTTTCCTATCTTAATATGGAAAACATGTCATGCACTCCCTTTATTGTTAACATTATCATCATTTTGATATTTCATTACAGACTTGATGAATTAAATGCATTTAAAATGTAAGCTCTGTTACATGATTAGAGCTTCCAAATGCCAAACATCTTCCAGGCTGGGATATTAAGCATTAACTCACAATTCTAAAACTACCAAGTTTAAAATTTGCTGCAGATTTAGAGTCCATACAGTAAAGTCCTACTCAACAGCATGTTACTTCATCTAGAATATTTGATTTAAATATTTGAAAATTCATTGAACAGTACAGTGTGCGATACTGTCAAGTGCAAGCAAAGCTCACCGATTCTGAAACGATTTGCCAGCAACGTTGTCTCTGTATGAATCAAACTAACATGATACTGGTCTCTGCTCCACCCCAACCCAACCTGCAAAATAAAAAAAAAAAAAAAATACACTCGATCTCACCACCTTCTAAAATCAGACACTTAAATTTCTCCTTTTGAAATGTTCAGTCACAATCGATTTCATTCAAAGTTATCACGCATTAATGCACAACTGACTAGACCTTAATTCAAACTGAGTTATTACACTGAGCCAGCAGTCAGACCCCGAACTTAAGAGCACACTTGATTTAAACAAACTTTGTTGTTTCTCCGCAAGAATAGATTTCATGTTTTACGGACACACTTTTTAAGCTACTATTCATTTAAGTTACCGCCCCATTGTCTCTTAGCCTTTAAAAATTCACAATGTTTTCCCAAAACTGAGACCTAAAACAAATATACTTCATTACGAGCAGGAAACCCCTACCCCCCACATAATTTTCCTCATCTTCCTTTCTGTTCTCATACAGGGCATATTGAAGTATACACACCTCTGAAATCTGAGCTTTGCAAACACACAGACAGGCCAGGGTATATCAAATTATGCAAATTGACCTGGCCACAAACTTAAAACACAATAGCTCTTTCCCAATACAGGTAACATCTTGCACTGCAGCCAGACTAACCCAACAGCAAAGTATTTCTGTTGGCTGCAGCCTTTTTTCATCCCCCCGCATTTCTGCTACTCCCCTTCAGCTTGACATGAGTTCAGCCAACATGCAGCGAGGCAAGTCACGGAGCTAAACCAACAGAAAGATGAAACTTCAAACACCAGAGTGCTTCATCTTCCTCTATTTGGTTGCTGGAGCAGATGAGAAACAGTGGGAACACACAGCTGAAGGCAGGGTAGTCTTCCCTGCCTTCATCCAGCCATCAAGGTCACATAGCTAAAATCCCAAGCTGCACCCCACTTCAATACACTCGTTTATTAATACAGCACACAGAAGGACAGCCATGCAGAAACATCTCCTGCTCTGATAATGCTGAGTTGACACCCACTGATCTGCTTCTAGAAGACATACAGAAGTATTGGAGTAAGAAACTTCTTATATAAATAACACACCTCTCCAGAAGAAAAACGGTAACCATTCAAACATTTGCTTTTTTGCCTTTGTGCAACTATAACCAAAAAGACCCAGGTCAGATCTCTTTAGAAACACATATAGGAAAAAAAAGTTAAGCTCTTCCCACTTGATACATCTTTTTCCTGTAACTGTTTGCTCCTGCCGCATTGTCCATGTTGCAATAGTGCCCGGAGGCTGCTTTGCTTCAAATTTACATACTGATATTATAAAACCACTAAGGGAATAACATTAAAAAAATGGGGAGAGACACCCCCTATTAGGAGATACTGTATCAGCCACTGCTATCACCTGTCTATCCGGCATGTTCCAGCTACAAAACTTTTTACAATGCTGAGCGACCTACGGAAGGACGGCCAAGAAGGGTTTACAACCACACTGTCCTAAAACCCAAAGCTCATCTTACGACTAGGTTACAGCATTGGCTTAGACCCAGTTACCCTAGAAGTTTTTGCAGAAATGCTCCTGTATCATGCTTTTAATGCATTGTCATTTCATTGAGCTCGAGTTTTTTTCTGGAAGTCAAGCTAATTTTCACTTTGAGGCTGTAAGCACATCATTACCAATCCCAAATTATTTGCCCCGGTCATTAATTTTTATTCCAGCATTAATACTGATATTAGCATGAATCTATGCAAGCAGATCTAATTTTGTCTACTAGGATGAAAAAGCTGGCTCTGAGGGTAGGGGAAAAGCACAACTGCAAACGCTGCTCAGACACCAGGGTCTGATAAGCATTGCCTTACGCTGGTTTTTATTGCTTGACAGTTCCCCGAAGATTGTCAAAAATGGTTGACCTGATAATTGCCAGAAAGATTTTTGGTTTCATCTTCAAAACAGTCTTATACTTTCATTAGTTGCTACCTTGTGGACTCTGCCCTAAAGTGTTTTCTGTTCACCCTATAGTTGTCAGAAGAGGTGTAACAGCGTTCACTCTCACAAGTCTAGTCACTCCTAAATTCTTAAGTTACCACTGTTTACCAAAACACATCGCCTGAAATCATGAGAGCAAAATGCATGCAAACATCTCTTACCATGCTCATTTACCATCATTAAAAAAAAAAAAAAAAAAAAAAAAAGGTTTTTCTGTATTTCTGCATAGTCATTCCATAAAGGGTAGTGGTTTTTATTGGTGTTTTGTTTGGGTTTTTTTTAAACATTTCTGGTCATTTTTCTTTTTTTCTTAACTTATAATTTTGAAAGTTTACTCCTACATGAATCTGCAAGTTCTTTGCTCACTGTCTAAACAGCATCTAAGCTTTCCAACTAGATCTAAAAGGGCTGGAAGTAGCAAACTTAGATTTGGTAGGAAAATAATTCTGAGTGGTGATTTTGACTGATTCTCAGTAAAGTCAGTTACAACCTGGACAACTACAGAAGTGTTTCAAAAAACGTTTGAAGTTCTAAGGAATCCTGAAGTTGGGTTTAAGTCCCCATTCTGAAGAAAGCCAAAAGTATACTCAAAGTTTCACAGCACCAAGAGGAATACACCAATTCAAGCTGATAATCATGTACAAACAGGTACCTAAGAGTACTACACAATTAATTAACTCGCTGATGGCTTTCAAGTGTTTCAGGAACTTGTGAACTCTGCAAGACAGCAGGGATGAAGCACTTCATGCGAAGCAGATGTACAGATACACAAAGTTCTGATTGTGTAACACTCAAGATTTCAGATAACACTCTTTATGGCTCTTTTTTTCTGTATCTGAAAGAGCCCATCAAAATAAAATAGAGAAAAAAAAAAAGAGGGGAAAAAAAAATTTAGGAATCAGGAAATTCCAGTCTGTTTGCATGTAACACTGCCACCCTTTTACACCGACAAAAATACTTTAATTCCCCAAATACTTTTTATTGTCTCAAACACTACACTGAAGCAGGATTGGCTTTTTCCCCTCCAGATTCTTTCATTGACGACTTCCCGAAATAGATAGGGTAATACGAAATGAAGCTTTAAAATACACTATACACCCATATAAAACTGTACCTAGAATAAGTAGAAGTTCTATTGCGTCATTTACAAAGCAACAGGTAAACTGAGCAGCAAGCAGCGAGCAAAGCAGTACAGGCTCTGCTGGGCTGCGGGCAGCTCGGGGAGAGGCTTCGCTTAACTCCTTGCACTCCGGAAGGGCGAAGGATTCCGTCACTCCCGGCTGCCCTTTGACGGCTGCATCAGCGCAGGCTTCAGAAGAGCCAAATAATAACAACGTAAAACCCCCAGCACTGAGAAACCACCCCGTAAGGGCAGTGGAAAGAACGGCACAAGGCAGGAAAACAGGAGCTCCGGGAGCACGCGGGTTCTCCCCAGCGCTCCTCAGAGCCCCTCGCGCTGCGGCCCCCGGCGCCCCCGGAGCACGGCCCGCGGCGGGGCCTCGCGCCGCTCCTCA